CTTGAGGCTATCACGTGAAGTGTCGAACGCCCCGCTGGCCAGGAGGTCACGGGGCAGACCCAGCAGGTGCCACGGGTCGACTGACTGAGATGACTGTGGCTGATGCACCACCTGTGCCCCCTACTGTGCCAACTTTCTGTGCTGTAGCCACCCGGCGCTCCGCTCGTTGTTGTGAGCGTCGCTCCTCCGCCCCTCTGTTGTTGTTGGAGGGCGACTGCCTCCAACTGCCCAGTAGCGTCCTTCACGAGCCTCCTCCACAGAGGCCGATCTTGACACCGCTGGTACCAGTCATCGGAAAGTCCACTCAGCTCCACGTCCTCCTGTACCACATCACTCCATCTCTTCTCTAGCCCGTGCCACGCCTGTTTAGCCCCCTCGATCCGGCCGAACAAAAGCTGTTAGGGCATGCGGTGACTGGGCATGCGGGCTACATGACCCAGCCAACGCAGCCTTGCCTGCTGGAGGAGCTTTGTCCAGATCTTTCAAGGATTTGTGAGCTCCTCACACAATCCAGCCTGGTTAAACCCAGGATTGATTGTAGGCAGGCCAGCCTAAATGTTTCTAACTGGCGAAGATGTTCCATTAGGGGGGTCCACGTTTCGCAAGCATAGAGAATACAGGGAATGACCGTGGCCGAGAAGACCTGAAGCTTAGTGCGGAGCGACAGACCAGGTAGCTTCCAAACAGCGTTACGCAACCGATGAAAAAATATTGCCCCTCGACTGATTCGGAGTGAGACCTCTGCTGTTAAACGGGAGCCGGTCATGAGCACACTGGCCAGGTATGGGAAACTCTCCACTCTCTCCACAACTGCCCAATCACCAATTGGGAGTTGTGGGGGTGGAGTGTCCGATGGTAAGAGATACCCAGGCAGGTGCTTAGTTTTGGTGGGGCTGATGGTAAGGCCCCATCTCTTAGTGGCACGCTCCAGTCTCAGCAGCAGCGTCTCTAACTCCTCCTCTGACTGAGCAGCTATTACCAAATTATCAGCATACATAACGTGGTTGAGCAATAGGGAGCCATCCCTTGACCGCACCCAGGCATCGATCAGCCTCCCATTATATCTGTACCAGATTGAAATTCCTCCAGTACAGCAATCGAAATCTCCACGAACTACGTGGTCAAAATAGATGTTAAATAATGTGGGAGCCAGAGGACATCCCTGTCGCACCCCAAGGTGTACAGGGAATGGCTCTGACTCCCGGCTTTGTAGTTTTACCCGGGCCCGCTCACCATCATGAAGGTCCTTAATGATCGTGAGCATAGGGTCAGGGACTCCAAAGCACGAAGAACAACCCAGAGGCCAGCCCTACTGATGGTATCATAGGCCTTGACTAGGTCAATAAAGCAGAGATGTAGGTTTTGTTGGAATTCCCTACACCTCTGCTGTAGCAGACGGACAGAAAATATGGCATCTGTGCAGGACCGCCCTTTCCTGAACCGCATTGGGACTCCGCAAGCCTCTCCTCAGCGTGCCTGGCAAGGCAATGTTGAATAATCCTTGCCAGGACCTTTCCCGGCACACTGAGGAGTGAGACGCCCCTGTAGTTTTTAAGTCTGTGCGGTCAACCCTTCTTAAAGAGGGGGACCACCAGGGCATCCTTTCAATCCTGCGGAACCCGTCCAGTGGTCCAGACTGTTGTTATGATGTCATGTAGGGCAGTCTGTGCACAAACGCCACCCTCCCTCAACATTTCGCTTGGGAGATCATCTCTGCCCGGTGTCTTTCCTGGTCTCAGACTCTGGATCGCCTTCAGTACTTCTTCAACAGATGGCACCTCAGCCAGCCACTCACAGGGGGTGACTTCTTCCAATATTTGAGGCACCACAGCCTCGCCAGGGTCATCCTCACTTTGTCCCACGTTTTCCATGCCGAGGGATTTCCCCTCCCCCATAACTTCACAGAAATGCTCAGCAAATCTGCAAACCTGTTTCTGGGGGTCGTAGATTGGATTACCGTTTTTCCCCCTAGTGATGGTAATAGGTGTGGCGCTGCAGGTTACTTTTTTGATGGTGTTAAGTAGCGATTTGTGATTGCGGGCCATTGAGGCAGACTCCATCTCCTCAGCAACCCGCGACCACCACCCATCCTTGTCGCATCTCACGACTCTCCGAACCTCCGAGCGAAGGCTGCGGTAAGCCTCCTCATTCTCCGACGTGGGATGCTGTAGCCAATGAGAGTGGGCCTTTCACTTTTTTTAAGCCAGCTTGAACGCCTCCTCTGTCAGCCAGGGTCTCGGGGGAGGTCTGGACCATGTACCCAAAGCTGCCATTGCAGCTGCCTGAGTCACAGTCCTAAACCTCGCCCATTTCCCCTCGACATCTGGACGAGTGGGGGACGATGCCAACCCCATTTGCAAGCGATGATAAAATTCTCGCTTCCAACTTTCATCATCTAGCTGAGACCAGGCCACTATGGGTTTAAATGGGGTCCTGGGTGTACACCCACCACCGGAGTGGGAGAATGGCAGGCGCATCTTACAGATGACAAGTCGATGGTCAGTGGGCAGATCAGCTCCACGGTAGGTTCTGGTGTCAAGGACATGGGCCCGCATCCGCTGTTCCGTCACTATGTAGTCCAGCAGATGTTCTTGCTTGGACCCGGCATGCATCCATGATGTTGTGTGGATGAGTTGATGCCGGAACAGCGTGTTGGTAATTACAAGCCCATGGGCTGCACAAAAATCTAGCAGTCTCCTACGGTTGTTACTGAGCTGATCTGGCCCATGCCCTCCAATCACTCCAGACCAGGTGCCAGCATCATGACCAACTCGGGCATTGAAGTCACCCAACATGATGACTCTATCCTGAGGGGCCACTTTAGCCAGCACCTGTGACAGGAGGTCATAAAAGGCATCTGACTCATCGGCTTTGCCTGCATCCCTCCACGGATGTTCGTCTTCGGTGGGGGCATAAGTAACCACGACCACCACTCCTCGCCTCCGGTTGATGGGAAGGCGAGCCCAAAGTAGTCTGGGACTTACAGCTTCCCACACCTCACCGCCACGCTCCCACGCCCCCCTCATTCTTTTGTTCGGAAGAAAAGCCACACCCTGATGTTTGGCAGTCTACTGCCCCGAGTAGAGGACTGTCCAGTCCTCATGGTGGCAGGAGCCAGAGCCGGTCCACCGGACCTCCTGAATGCCACAGAGATCCAGGTGGTACCGGTCCAGCTCCCGACAGAGGAGTGGCAGCGCACGCACACAGACAAAGGTCCCCCGTGTATGCTCTAGCAGGGCTGTAGGGGCAAGTGCTGTTAGTAGCGAGTAGCAGTGGCTATGAATTGGAGTTGGTTCCAGGTGCAACTCCCCTTTGCTTTCTATTTGTCTCTCCCCCCATCACACAGCCCCTCCCCTCACCCCCTCCCCTCACCCTGCGTCTCCCCCCAGCCCCTCCCCTCAGTCCCTCTCCTCCCCCCAGCCCCTCCCGTCACCCTGACTCTCCCCCAGCCCCTCCCCCCCAGCCCCTCCCCCCAGCCCCTCCCCCCAGCCCCTCCCCTCACCCTGCGTCTCCCCCCAGCCTCTCCCCCCAGCCCCTCTCCTCCCCCCAGCCCCTCCCCTCACCCTGCGTCTCCCCCCAGCCCCTCCCCCCAGCCCCTCCCCCAGCCCCTCCCCTCACCCTGCGTCTCCCCCCAGCCCCTCCCCCCAGCCCCTCCCCCCAGCCCCTCCCCCCAGCCCCTCCCCTCACCCTGCGTCTCCCCCCAGCCCGTGATGACGCAGTCGGTGCCATGTGCCAGGACTTGGTCAGGGTCGGGCAGGCAGACGAGAGACACACGGTCGGTCAGCTGTGCCGGCCTGCGTGTGGTGGTGGTGGTGTGGTGGTGTGGTGTGGTGGTGGTGTGGTGGTGGTGTGGTGGTGTGGGGGTGTGGTGTGGTGGGGGTGTGGTGTGGGTGTGGTGGTGGTGTGGTGGTGGTGGTGTGGTGGTGGTGGTGTGGTGTGGTGGTGGTGTGGTGTGGTGGTGGTGTGGTGGTGGTGTGGTGTGGTGGTGTGGTGGTGTGGTGGTGTGGTGGTGGTGTGGTGTGGTGGTGTGGTGGTGGTGTGGTGTGGGGGTGCTGGTGGTGGTGTTGTGGGGTGGTGTGGTGGTGGTGTTGTGTGGTGGGGGTGTTGTGGTGGTGGTGTGGTGGTGGTGGTGTGGTGGTGGTGGTGGTGTAGTGGTGGTGTGGTGGTGGTGGTGTGGTGGTGGTGTGGTGGTGGTGTGGTGTAGTGTGGTGGTGGTGTAGTGTGGTGGTGTGGTGGTAGTGTGGTGGTGTGGTGTGGTGGTGGTGTGGTGGTGTGGTGTGGTGGTGGTGGTGTGGTGTGGTGTGGTGGTGGTGTGGTGTGGGGGTGGTGGTGGTGTGGTGGTGGTGGTGGTGGTGGTGTGGTGTGGTGGTGGTGTGGTGGTGGTGTGGTGTGGTGGTGTGGTGTGGTGTGGTGGTGTGGTGGTGGTGGTGTGGTGGTGATGTGGTGTGTGGTGGTGTGGCGGTGTGATGTAGTGGCGGTGGTTGTGGTTGGTAGTTGTTTGTCGTGTGGTGGTGGTATGGTGGTGGTGTGTGTCGGGTGGTGGAGGGCACACGCACACACACAAAGACAAAGACTCCCACCAACCCCTAACCACGTGGATCCTCCACCAGACTGTTGTGTGCCCGTGCTCCCAGCCTTGCCCAGACCACCAACTCGGCGCGGGGGGTGGGGGGTCGGGGGGGGGGGGGGCTCGACTCCCGGTCCGCACGTCGCGATCTTGACCAGGGCGATGTCCACGCCGCGGGGCTCCGTGTGGATGCTCGCCACCGGCACCGTCTGCCAGGCCTCCCGCTCCGGCGCCAGCTCGTTGTGGACGCCGAGGAGCACGCGGTAGAGGCGGACGTCCCTACAGGCAGGCGGCACGGGCGGGGCGGGCGGGGGGGGTGAGCGTGGGGGTGAGCGGGGCGAGCGGGGGGGGGGGGGGGGGGTGAGCGTGGGGGTGAACGTGGGGTGTGGGGTGAGCGGGGTGAGCGGAGTGAGCGGGGTGAGCGTGGGGATGAGCGTGGGGTGTGGGGTGAGCGGGGGGTGAGCGGGGTGAGCGGGGTGAGCGTGGGGATGAGCGTGGGGTGTGGGGTGAGCGGGGGTGAGCGGGGTGAGTGGGGTGAGCGGGGTGAGTGGGGGGGTGAGCGGGGTGAGCTTGGGGGTGAGCGGGGTGAGCGTGGGGTGTGGGGTGAGCGGGGTGAGCGTGGGGTGTGGGGTGAGCGGGGTGAGCGGGGGGGGGGGGGTGAGCGGGGTGAGCGTGGGGTGTGGGGTGAGCGGGGTGAGCGGGGTGAGTGGGGTGAGCGGGGGGGTGAGCGGGGGGGGGTGAGCGGGGGGGTGAGCGGGGCGAGCTTGGGGGTGAGCGTGGGGTGGAGATGAGGTGAGGCTTTGTCTCGTGCTAGAGCCTCACCTCTTCTCCACCGGCCATTATCTTCACTGCTACTGACCTTTTGACCTCCTCCTGAACTTCTCCTCAAGACCTCAAACTAATCCTGGTTGAGCCTGGGGGTGCTCCTCCTCCTCCTGACCTCCTCCTGACCTCCTCCTCCTCCTGACCTCCTCCTCCTAACCTTCTCCTCCTCCTGACCTCCTCCTCCTCCTGACCTCCTCCTGACCTTCTCCTCCTCCTCCTGACCTCCTCCTCCTGACCTCCTCCTGATCTCCTCCTCCTGACCTTCTCCTCCTGACCTCCTCCTCCTGACCTCCTCCTCCTGACCTCCTCCTAACCTTCTCCTCCTCCTGACCTCCTCCTCCTGACCTCCTCCTCCTGACCTCCTCCTGACCTTCTCCTCCTCCTGACCTCCTCCTCCTGACCTTCTCCTCCTGACCTTCTCCTGACCTCCTCCTGACCTTCTGCTCCTCCTCCTGACCTCCTCCTCCTGACCTCCTCCTCCTGACCTTCTCCTCCTGACCTTCTCCTGACCTCCTCCTCCTGACCTTCTCCTCCTCCTCCTGACCTCCTCCTCCTCCTGACCTCCTCCTCCTCCTGACCTCCTCCTCCTCCTGACCTCCTCCTGACCTCCTCCTACTCCTGACCTCCTCCTCCTGACCTCCTCCTCCTGACCTCCTCCTGACCTTCTCCTCCTCCTCCTGACCTCCTCCTCCTGACCTCCTCCTCCTGACCTCCTCCTCCTGACCTCCTCCTCCTGAACTCCTCCTCCTGACCTCCTCCTCCTGACCTCCTCCTCCTCCTCCTGACCTCCTCCTCCTCCTCCTGACCTCCTCCTCCTCCTCCTGACCTCCTCCTCCTGACCTCCTCCTCCTGACCTCCTCCTCCTGACCTCCTCCTCCTGACCTCCTCCTCCTGACCTCCTGACCTCTTCCTCCTGACCTCCTCCTCCTGACCTCCTCCTGACCTCCTCCTCCTGACCTCCTCCTCCTGCCCTGCTCCCCTACCCACTTGCCCCCCTGGACCCCACGTGACTCACGAGCTGTTGACGCAGTGGGCGGCGGTGAGGATCCATGAGGGGTCGATGAGAGTCGCTCCGCAGTGCGGCCTGAACTGACTGTGGACACACAGAAACACACACACACAGTGACACACACAGTGACACACAGACACACACACACAGTGACACACAGTGACACACAGACACACACACAGTGACACACAGTGACACACAAACACACACAGACACACACACACAAACACACAGACACACACACAGACACACACACAAACACACACAGACACACACACACACACAAACACACAGACACACACACACAGTGACACACAGACACACACACACAGTGACACACACACAGTGACACACAGTGACACACAGTGACACACAGACACACACACACAGTGACACACAGTGACACACACACAGTGACACACACACAGTGACACACACACAGTGACACAACAACAACAACAATAACAACCGCCATTTGCCACTAAGTGGCGGTGACGTCACTACGACGCTTGTACCAGGCCATGTGCACCTTGAGGCCACGTGAAGTGTCGAACGCCCGCTGGCAGGAGGTCACGGGGCAGACCCAGCAGGTGCCACGGGTCGACTGACTGAGATGACTGGCTGATGAACCACCTGTGCCCCCTACTGTGTCAACCTACTGTGCTTTAGCCACCCGGCGCTCCGCTCGTTGTTGTGAGCGTCGCTCCTCCGCCCTCCGTTGTTGTTGGAGGGCGACTACCTCCAACTGCCAAGTAGCGTCCTTCACGAGCCTCCTCCTCCACAGAGGCCGATCTTGACACCGCTGGTACCAGCCATCGGCAAGTCCACTCAGCTCCACGTCCTCCTGTACCACATCACTCCATCTCTTCTCTAGCCCGTGCCGCGCCCGCTTAGCCCCCTCGATCCGGCCGAACAAAAGCTGTTTCGGCATGCGGTGGCTGGGCATGCGGGCTACATGACCCAGCCAACGCAGCCTTGCCTGCCGGAGGAGCTCACCGATGGGACCTTGCCCAGACCTTTCAGGGATTTGTGAGCTCCTCATACAATCCAGCCTGGTTAAACCTAGGATGGATCGTAGGCAGGCTAGCCTATATGTTTCTAACCGGCGAAGATGTTCCATTAGGGGGGTCCACGTTTCACAAGCGTAGAGAAGGGAGGGAATGACCGTGGCCGAGAAGACCTGAAGATTAGTGTGGAGCGACAGACCAGGTAGCTTCCACACAGCGTTACGCAACCGATGAAAAGATATTGCCACTCGACTGATTCGGAGTGAGACCTCTGCTGTTAAACTGGAGCCGGTCATGAGCACACTGCCCAGGTATGGGAAACTCTCCACTCTCTCCACAACTGCCCCATCACCGATTGGGAGTTGTGGGGGTGTAGTGTCCGATGGTACAAAATACCCAGGCAGGTGCTAAGTTTTGGTGGGGCTGATGGTAAGGCCCCATCTCTTAGTGGCACGCTCCAGTCTCAGCAGCAGCCTCTCCAACTCCTCCTCTGAATGATCAGCTATTGCCAAATCATCGGCATACATAACATGGTTGAGCAATAGGGAGCCATCCCTTGACCGCACCCGGGCATCGATCAGCCTCCAACTATATCTGTACCATATAGAGATTCCCTCGGTACAGCTATTGAATGCTTAACGAACTACGTGGTCAAAATAGATGTTAAATAATGTTAAATAATGTGTGGCTCTGACTCCCGGCCATGTAGTTTTACCCGGGCCCGCTCACCATCATGAAGGTCCTTAATGATCGTGAGCAGAGGGTCAGGGACTCCAAAAGCACGAAGAACAACCCAGAGCTCAGGCCTACTGATGGTATCATAGGCCTTGACCAGGTCAATAAAGCAGAGATGTAGGTCTTGCTGGAATTCCCTAAACCTCTGCTGTAGCAGACGGACAGAAAATATGGCATCTGTGCAGGACCGCCCTTTCCTGAAACCGCATTGGGGCTCCGCAAGTCTCACCTCAGCGTGCCTGGCAAGGCGATGTTGAATAATCCTTGCCAGGTCCTTTCCTGGCACACTGAGGAGTGAGATGCCCCTGTAGTTGTTACAGTCTGTGCGGTCCCCCTTCTTAAAAAGGGGGACCACCAGGGCATCCTTCAAATCCTGCGGAACCCGTCCAGTGGTCCAGACTGTTGTTATGATGTCATATAGGGCAGTCTGTGCACAAACGTCACCCTCCCTCAGCATGTCGCTTGGTAGATCATCTCTGCCCGCTGCCTTTCCTGGTCTCAGACTCCGGATCACCTTCAGTACTTCCTCAACAGATGGCACCTCAGCCAGCCACTCACAGGGGGTGAGTGGCTGGCTGAGGTAAGCAGCCTTCGCTCGATGACAGTGGGCCTGTCGCTTTTTCTTAACTATCCTGAACACCTCCTCTGTCAGCCAGGGTCTCTGGGGAGGTCTGGACCGCGTACCCAAAGCAGCCATTGCAGCTGCATGAGTCACAGTCCTAAACCTCGCCCATTTACCCTCAACATCAGGAGTGGGGGACGATGCCAACCCCAGCCGCAAGCGATGATTAAATTCTCGCTTGCAACTTTCATCAGATAACTGAGACCAGGCTACTTTAGGTTGGAATGGGGTCCTGGGTGTACACCCACCACCGGAGTGGAAGAATGGCAGGCGCATCTTACAGATGACTAGTCGATGGTGAGAGGGCAGATCACCTCCACGGTAGGTCCTGTGTCAAGGTCATGGGCCCGCATCCGCTGTTCCGTCACTATGTAGTCCAGCAGATGTTCTTGCTTGGACCCGGCATGCATCCATGATGTTGTGTGGATGCACCGATGCCAGAACAGCGTGTTGGTAATTAGAAGCCCATGAGCTGCACAAAAATCTAGCAGTCTCCTACCGTTGTTATTGAGCTGATCTGGCCCATGCCCTCCAATCACTCCAGACCAGGTGCCAGCATCATGACCAACGTACACGTACACACACACACACGTACACACACACACGTACACACGCACACACGTACACACACACGTACACACACGTACACACAAACACGTACACACACACACGTACACACACGCACACGCACACACGCACACGCACACACGCACACACGTACACACACACGTACACACACGTACGTACGTACGTAAATGTACACACACACGTGCACACGTATGCACACGTACACACACACGTACACACACGTACACACAAACGTACACACACACACACACGTACAGACACATACACACGTACACACACATACACGCACGTACACACACACACGTACGAACGTACACGTACACACACACATACACACGTATACACACACACGTACACACACGTACACACACGTACACATACACACACGTACACTCACACGTACACACACACATACGTATGTACATGTACACACACACGTGCACACGTAAACACACACGTACACACACACACACGTACACACACACGTACGCACACACACACACGTACACATACATACACACACAGGTACGCACACGTACGCACGCAAACGCACGCACACACTCTAAAAACAAACACATGTACACACGTACACAGGCACACACGAGCACACACACACACACACGCGTGTGTGTGTGTGTGTGTGCTCGCTCACCTGCTGAAGCTGTAGAGCTTCTTTCGGATGGCCACCTGCCAGGGCCACGAGTGAGGCTTGGCCGGACATCCACCCACGATCCTCCCCATGCAGACCTTGGGCTTCTCCACTTGAACACCACACTTCTCTCCACTCGCTGGGCACGCGCGCACAGAGGGGGTGAAGGCCGTGAAGAACCAGTGGCATCTACATCTACAGAACGTGAAGAACCAGTGGCATCTACATCTGTAGAACGTGGAGAACCAGTGGCATCTACATCTGTAGAACGTGAAGAACCAGTGGCATCTACATCTGTAGAACGTGAAGAACCAGTGGCATCTACATCTGTAGAAGGTGAAGAACCAGTGGCATCTACATATGTAGAACGTGAAGAACCAGTGGCATCTACATCTGCAGAACGTGAAGAACCAGTGGCATCTACATCTACAGAACGTGAAGAACCAGTGGCATCTACATCTGTAGAACGTGGAGAACCAGTGGCATCTACATCTGTAGAGCGTGAAGAACCAGTGGCATCTACATCTGTAGAAGGTGAAAAATCAGTGGCATTTACATCTACAGAACGTTAAGAACCAGTGGCATCTACAGAATGTGAAGAAACAGTTACATCTAGATCTGCAGAACATGAAGAACCAGTGGTATCTACATCTGTAGAACGTGAAGAACCAGTGGCATCGACATCTGCAGAACGTGAAGAACCAGTGAGATCTACATCTGTCGAACGTGAAGAACCAGTGGCATCTACATCTGCAGAACGTGAAGAACCAGTGGCATCTACATCTGTAGAACGTGAAGAATCAGTGGCATCTACATCTGCAGAACGTGAAGAACCAGTGGCATCTACATCTGAAGAACGTGAAGAACCAGTGGCATCTACATTTGTAGAACGTGAAGAACCAGTGGAATCTACATCTGTAGAACGTCTAGAACCAGTGGCATCTACATCTGTAGAACGTGAAGAAGCAGTGGCATCTACATCTGCAGAACGTGAAGAACCAGTGGCATCTACATCTGCAGAACGTGAAGAACCAGTGACATCTACATCTGCAGAACGTGAAGAACCAGTGGCATCTACATCTGCAGAACGTGAAGAACCAGTGGCATCTACATCTGTAGAACGTGAAGAATCAGTGGCATCTACATCTGCAGAATGTGAAGAACCAGTGGCATCTACATCTGCAAAACATGAAGAACCAGTGGCATCTACATCTGTAGAACGTGAAGAACCAGTGGCATCTACATCTGTAGAACGTGAAGAACCAGTGGCATCTACATCTGCAGAACGTGAAGAACCAGTGGCATCTACATCTGCATAACGTGAAGAACCAGTGGCATCTACATCTGCAGAACGTGAAGAACCAGTGGCTTCTACATCTGTAGAACGTGAAGAACCAGTGGCATCTACATCTGTAGAACGTGAAGAACCAGTGGCTTCTACATCTGTAGAAGGTGAAGAACCAGTGGCATCTACATCTGTGTGTGCGTCTGTGCGTGTGTATGTGTACCTGCATGTGAGTACATGTGTGTGTGTGCGTGCGTGCGTCTCAGTCATCTCAGTCAGTCGACCCGTGGCACCTGCTGGGTCTGCCCCGTGACCTCCTGCCAGCGAGCGTTCGACACTTCACGTGGCCTCAAGGTGCACTTGGCCTGGCACAAGCGTCGTGGTGACGTCACCGCCACCTAGTGGCGAATGGCGGTTGTTGTTGTTGGTGTGTGTCGCTGTGTGTGTGTGTGTGTCTGTGTGTGTGTGTCTGTGTGTGTGTCTATGGGTGTGTGTATGTGTGTGTATGGGTGTGTGTGTCTGTGTGTGTATGTCTGTGTGTGTCTGTGTGTGTGTGTCTGTGTGTGTGTCTGTGGGTGTGTCTGTGTGTGTGTCTGCGTGTGTGTGTGTCTGTGTGTGTGTGTGTGTGTGTGTGTGTGTCTGTGTGTGTGTCTGTGTGTGTGTCTGTGTGTGTGTGTCTGTGTGTGTGTCTGTGTGTGTGTGTCTGTGTGTGTCTGTGTGTGTGTCTGTGTGTGTCTGTGTGTGTGTCTGTGTGTGTGTGTGTCTGTGTGTGTGTGTCTCGGCTCACGGCAGCGCTGAATGTTGCAGTGCTCCCACTGCTTGCGGGGGTCCATGGTGTAGCACCAGGGGCCTTGCGCATCCTTGTCAGGGTTTCTGCAGAACTGGGGGACACACAGACACACACACACAGACACACACACGCAGACACACACACAGACACACAAACACACACAGACACACACACACAGACACACACACAGACACACACACACAGACACACACAGACACACACACACACAGACACACACACAGACACAGACACACACACAGACACACACACACACAGACACACACACACAGACACACACAGACACAAACACACACAGACACACACACACACAGACACACACACAGACACACACACACAGACACACAAACACACACGAGATGAGTGTGGGGGGTTGCTGGTTGAGTGTGGATGTTGCTGGTTGAGCGTAAGAGTTGCTGGTTGAGTGTGGGGGGTTGCTGGTTGAGTGTGTGGGTTGCTGGTTGAGTGTGGATGTTGCTGGTTGAGTGTGGATGTTGCTGGTTGAGTGTGGATGTTGCTGGTTGAGTGTGGATGTTGCTGGTTGAGTGTGGGGGTTGCTGGTTGAGTGTGGAGGGTTGCTGGTTGAGTGTGGATGTTGCTGGTTGAGTGTGGATGTTGCTGGTTGAGAGTAAGAGTTGCTGGTTGAGTGTGGCGGGTTGCTGGTTGAGTGTGGATGTTGCTGGTTGAGTGTGGGGGGTTGCTAGTTGAGTGTGTGGGTTGCTGGTTGAGTGTGGTTGTTGCTGGTTGAGTGTGGAGGTTGCTGGTTGAGCGTAAGAGTTGTTGGTTGAGTGTGGATGTTGCTGGTTGAGTGTGGGGGGTTGCTGGTTGAGTGTGTGGGTTGCTGGTTGAGTGTGGATGTTGCTGGTTGAGTGTGGAGGTTGCTGGTTGAGCGTAAGAGTTGTTGGTTGAGTGTGGATGTTGCTGGTTGAGTGTGGATGTTGCTGGTTGAGTGTGGAGGTTGCTGGTTGAGTGTGGGGAGTTGCTGGTTGAGTGTGGATGTTGCTAGATGAGTGTGGATGTTGCTGGTTGAGTGTGGAGGGTTTAATGGTTGAGTGTGGAGGTTGCTGGTTGAGTGTGGAGTTTGCTGGTTGAGTGTGGAGGGTTTAATGGTTGAGTGTGGATGTTGCTGGTTGAGAGTAGAGGTTGCTGGTTGAGTGTGGGGGGTTGCTGGTTGAGTGTGGGGGGTTGCTGGTTGAGTGTGGAGGTTGCTGGTTGAGCGTAAGAGTTGTTGGTTGAGTGTGGATGTTGCTGGTTTAGTGTGGGGGGTTGCTGGTTGAGTGTGTGGGTTGCTGGTTGAGTGTGGATGTTGCTGGTTGAGTGTGGAGGTTGCTGGTTGAGCGTAAGAGTTGTTGGTTGAGTGTGGATGTTGCTGGTTGAGTCTGGAGGGTTGCTGGTTGAGTGTGGAGGTTGCTGGTTGAGTGTGGGGAGTTGCTGGTTGAGTGTGGATGTTGCTAGATGAGTGTGGATGTTGCTGGTTGAGTGTGGAGGGTTTAATGGTTGAGTGTGGAGGTTGCTGGTTGAGTGTGGAGGTTGCTGGTTGAGTGTGGAAGGTTTGCTGGTTGAGTGTGGAGGGTTTAATGGTTGAGTGTGGATGTTGCTGGTTGAGTGTAGAGGTTGCTGGTTGAGTGTGGGGGGTTGCTGGTTGAGTGTGGGGGGTTGCTGGTTGAGTGTGGAGGTTGCTGGTTGAGTGTGGGAGTTGCTGGTTGAGTGTGGATGTTGCTGGTTGAGTGTGGGAGTTGCTGGTTGAGTGTGGGGTTTTTGCTGGTTGAGTGTGGATGTTGCTGGTTGAGTGTGGATGTTGCTGGTTGAGTGTGGATGTTGCTGGTTGAGTGTGGGGTTTTTGCTGGTTGAGTGTGGATGTTGCTGGTTGAGTGTGGAGGTTGTTGGTTGAGTGTGGATGTTGCTGGTTGAGTGTGGATGTTGCTGGTTGAGCGTTAGAGTTGTTGGTTGAGTGTGGAGGGTTGCTGGTTGAGTGTGGAGGTTGCTGGTTGAGTGTGGAGGTTGCTGGTTGAGTGTGGATGTTGCTAGATGAGTATGGATGTTGCTGGTTGAGTGTGGAGGGTTTAATGGTTGAGTGTGGATGTTGCTGGTTGAGTGTGGATGTTGCTGGTTGAGTGTGGGAGTTGCTGGTTGAGTGTGTGGGTTGCTGGTTGAGTGTGGATGTTGCTGGTTGAGCGTAAGAGTTGCTGGTTGAGCGTAAGAGTTGCTGGTTGAGTGTGGAGGGTTGCTGGTTGAGTGTGGAGGTTGCTGGTTGAGTGTGGAGGTTGCTGGTTGAGTGTGGAGGGTTGCTGGTTGAGTGTGGATGTTGCTGGTTGAGTGTGGTGGGTTGCTGGTTGAGTGTGGATGTTGCTGGTTGAGTGTGGAGGGTTGCTGGTTGAGTGTGGGGGTTGCTGGATGAGTGTGGAGGTTGCTGGTTGAGTGTGGGAGTTGCTGGTTGAGTGTGTGGGTTGCTGGTTGAGTGTGGATGTTGCTGGTTGAGTGTGGTTGGTTTGATGGTTGAGTTTGGAGGGTTGCTGGTTGAGTGTGGGAGTTGCTGGTTGAGTGTGGAGGGTTGCTGGATGAGTGTGGAGGGTTGCTGGTTGAGTGTGGATGTTGCTGGTTGAGCGTGGATGTTGCTGGTTGAGTGTGGAGGTTGCTGGTTGAGTGTGGATGTTGCTGGTTGAGTGTGGAGGTTGCTGGTTGAGTGTGGATGTTGCTGGTTGAGTGTGGAGGTTGCTGGTTGAGTGTGGGGAGTTGCTGGTTGAGTGTGGATGTTGCTGGTTGAGCGTAAGAGTTGCTGGTTGAGGGTGGAGGTTGCTGGTTGAGTGTGGTTGTTGCTAGATGAGTGTGGATGTTGCTAGATGAGTGTGTGGGTTGCTGGTTGAGTGTGGGAGTTGCTGGTTGAGTGTGGAGGGTTGCTGGTTAAGTGTGGAGGATTGCTGGTTGAGTGTGGATGTTGCTGGTTGAGCGTAAGAGTTGTTGTTTGAGTCTGGAGGGTTGCTGGTTGAGTGTGGGGAGTTGCTGGTTGAGTGTGGATGTTGCTAGATGAGTGTGGATGTTGCTAGATGAGTATGGAGGTTGCTGGTTGAGTGTGGAGGGTTTAATGGTTGAGTGTGGAGGTTGCTGGTTGAGTGTGGGGGGTTGCTGGTTGAGTGTGGATGTTGCTGGTTGAGTGTGGATGTTGCTGGTTGAGTGTGGATGTTGCTGGTTGAGTGTGGATGTTGCTGGTTGAGTGTGGATGTTGCTGGTTGAGTGTGGGGGTTGCTGGTTGAGTGTGGAGGGTTGCTGGTTGAGTGTGGATGTTGCTGGTTGAGTGTGGATGTTGCTGGTTGAGAGTAAGAGTTGCTGGTTGAGTGTGGGGGGTTGCTGGTTGAGTGTGGATGTTGCGGGTTGAGTGTGGGGGGTTGCTAGTTGAGTGTGTGGGTTGCTGGTTGAGTGTGGTTGTTGCTGGTTGAGTGTGGAGGTTGCTGGTTGAGCGTAAGAGTTGTTGGTTGAGTGTGGATGTTGCTGGTTGAGTGTGGGGGGTTGCTGGTTGAGTGTGTGGGTTGCTGGTTGAGTGTGGATGTTGCTGGTTGAGTGTGGAGGTTGCTGGTTGAGCGTAAGAGTTGTTGGTTGAGTGTGGATGTTGCTGGTTGAGTCTGGAGGGTTGCTGGTTGAGTGTGGAGGTTGCTGGTTGAGTGTGGGGAGTTGCTGGTTGAGTGTGGATGTTGCTAGATGAGTGTGGATGTTGCTGGTTGAGTGTGGAGGGTTTAATGGTTGAGTGTGGAGGTTGCTGGTTGAGTGTGGAGTTTGCTGGTTGAGTGTGGAGGGTTTAATGGTTGAGTGTGGATGGTGCTGGTTGAGAGTAGAGGTTGCTGGTTGAGTGTGGGGGGTTGCTGGTTGAGTGTGGGGGGTTGCTGGTTGAGTGTGGAGGTTGCTGGTTGAGCGTAAGAGTTGTTGGTTGAGTGTGGATGTTGCTGGTTTAGTGTGGGGGGTTGCTGGTTGAGTGTGTGGGTTGCTGGTTGAGTGTGGATGTTGCTGGTTGAGTGTGGAGGTTGCTGGTTGAGCGTAAGAGTTGTTGGTTGAGTGTGGATGTTGCTGGTTGAGTCTGGAGGGTTGCTGGTTGAGTGTGGAGGTTGCTGGTTGAGTGTGGGGAGTTGCTGGTTGAGTGTGGATGTTGCTAGATGAGTGTGGATGTTGCTGGTTGAGTGTGGAGGGTTTAATGGTTGAGTGTGGAGGTTGCTGGTTGAGTGTGGAGGTTGCTGGTTGAGTGTGGAAGGTTTGCTGGTTGAGTGTGGAGGGTTTAATGGTTGAGTGTGGATGTTGCTGGTTGAGTGTAGAGGTTGCTGGTTGAGTGTGGGGGGGTTGCTGGTTGAGTGTGGGGGGTTGCTGGTTGAGTGTGGAGGTTGCTGGTTGAGTGTGGGAGTTGCTGGTTGAGTGTGGATGTTGCTGGTTGATTGTGGGAGTTGCTGGTTGAGTGTGGGGTTTTTGCTGGTTGAGTGTGGATGTTGCTGGTTGAGTGTGGATGTTGCTGGTTGAGTGTGGATGTTGCTGGTTGAGTGTGGGGTTTTTGCTGGTTGAGTGTGGATGTTGCTGGTTGAGTGTGGAGGTTGTTGGTTGAGTGTGGATGTTGCTGGTTGAGTGTGGATGTTGCTGGTTGAGCGTTAGAGTTGTTGGTTGAGTGTGGAGGGTTGCTGGTTGAGTGTGGAGGTTGCTGGTTGAGTGTGGAGGTTGCTGGTTGAGTGTGGATGTTGCTAGATGAGTATGGATGTTGCTGGTTGAGTGTGGAGGGTTTAATGGTTGAGTGTGGATGTTGCTGGTTGAGTGTGGATGTTGCTGGTTGAGTGTGGGAGTTGCTGGTTGAGTGTGTGGGTTGCTGGTTGAGTGTGGATGTTGCTGGTTGAGCGTAAGAGTTGCTGGTTGAGCGTAAGAGTTGCTGGTTGAGTGTGGAGGGTTGCTGGTTGAGTGTGGAGGTTGCTGGTTGAGTGTGGAGGTTGCTGGTTGAGTGTGGAGGGTTGCTGGTTGAGTGTGGATGTTGCTGGTTGAGTGTGGTGGGTTGCTGGTTGAGTGTGGATGTTGCTGGTTGAGTGTGGAGGGTTGCTGGTTGAGTGTGGGGGTTGCTGGATGAGTGTGGAGGTTGCTGGTTGAGTGTGGGAGTTGCTGGTTGAGTGTGTGGGTTGCTGGTTGAGTGTGGATGTTGCTGGTTGAGTGTGGTTGGTTTGATGGTTGAGTTTGGAGGGTTGCTGGTTGAGTGTGGGAGTTGCTGGTTGAGTGTGGAGGGTTGCTGGATGAGTGTGGAGGGTTGCTGGTTGAGTGGGGATGTTGCTGGTTGAGCGTGGATGTTGCTGGTTGAGTGTGGAGGTTGCTGGTTGAGTGTGGATGTTGCTGGTTGAGTGTGGAGGTTGCTGGTTGAGTGTGGATGTTGCTGGTTGAGTGTGGAGGTTGCTGGTTGAGTGTGGGGAGTTGCTGGTTGAGTGTGGATGTTGCTGGTTGAGCGTAAGAGTTGCTGGTTGAGGGTGGAGGTTGCTGGTTGAGTGTGGTTGTTGCTAGATGAGTGTGGATGTTGCTAGATGAGTGTGTGGGTTGCTGGTTGAGTGTGGGAGTTGCTGGTTGAGTGTGGAGGGTTGCTGGTTAAGTGTGGAGGATTGCTGGTTGAGTGTGGATGTTGCTGGTTGAGCGTAAGAGTTGTTGTTTGAGTCTGGAGGGTTGCTGGTTGAGTGTGGGGAGTTGCTGGTTGAGTGTGGATGTTGCTAGATGAGTGTGGATGTTGCTAGATGAGTATGGAGGTTGCTGGTTGAGTGTGGAGGGTTTAATGGTTGAGTGTGGAGGTTGCTGGTTGAGTGTGGGGGGTTGCTGGTTGAGTGTGGACGGTTTGCTGGTTGAGTGTGGATGTTGCTGGTTGAGTCTGGAGGGTTGCTGGTTGAGTGTGGAGGTTGCTGGTTGAGTGTGGAGGTTGCTGGTTGAGTGTGGAGGGTTTGATGGTTGAGTTTGGAGGGTTTGCTGGTTGAGTGTGGGAGTTGCTGGTTGAGTGTGGAGGGTTTGATGGTTGAGTGTGGTTGGTTTGATGGTTGAGTGTGGAGGGTTTGCTGGTTGAGTGTGGATGTTGCTGGTTGAGTGTGGTTGGTTTGATGGTTGAGTGTGGAGGGTTTGATGGTTGAGTTTGGAGGGTTTGCTGGTTGAGTGTGGGAGTTGCTGGATGAGTGTGGAGGGTTTGCTGGTTGAGTGTGGGAGTTGCTGGTTGAGTGTGGGAGTTGCTGGATGAGTGTGGAGGGTTTGCTGGTTGAGTCTGGAGGGTTGCTGGTTGAGTGTGGAGGGTTGCTGGTTGAGTGTGGATGTTGCTGGTTGAGTGTGGGAGTTGCTGGATGAGTGTGGTTGGTTTGATGGTTGAGTTTGGAGGGTTTGCTGGTTGAGTGTGGTTGGTTGTTGGTTGAGTGTGGTTGGTTGCTGGTTGAGCTCTGGTTGCTCGCCCCGGGGGGTGCTTGCCACGAGTGTTCACCCCTCACACCGCCGCTCACCTTCCCGCTGAGTCCCGCGTCCGGGTGCATCTCTGGCGTGTGCATCCGCACCTTGTGGGGCTCGTCCGACTCCCAGGCCTGGCAGCGGAGGCCCGAGCGGGTGACCGAGGCAGTGCCGCGGTAGTCCAGCCCCAGGCCCGTGAAGCAGTCTGGGCGGGCAGAGAGACGCACAGTGTGCGGGGGGGATGATGCTGATGATGCTGCTGATGATGATGATGAGAGAGAGACGCGGACTAGAAATATTTAGCGGCAGCAGGCGTCGTCAGGGTCCGGATCGAAACCACGACCTCCTGTACACCAGGCGAGGTAGTCAACATCTCCTAGCCACCGTGATGATGGTGGTAGTGGTGGAACCCACGACCTCTTGTACACCAGGCGAGGTAGTTAACATCTCCTAGCCACCGTGATGATGATGGTGGTGGAACCCACGATCTCCTGTACACCAGGCGAGGTAGTTAAGATCTCTGAGCCACCGTGATGATGATGGTGGTGGTGGAGCCCACGACCATCTGTATGGATCCAAATGCCCAAATTAGGCCCGCCCCTTGACGCTGATTGGCCTCCTTGTGCATTAACATAATTATCACGATTTCGCATCATTCATTCTGTCGATGATTACATTCATGCTGTCACAAATCTGTCTGTCGCCTGATGATGCCGGTTGTCGTCACTGGCGAAACGTCGCGATTGGATTGTAACTGTTGTGGATTTGCTCTCCGGCACACAACCGGTTAGTGCTGTACCAGTAAGCTACACAATACACTACAAAGTAATGCTGTACTAGTATACTACACTATACACTACACTATACATTACACTATACACTACACTATACACTATACTATACACTATACACTACACTATACACTACACTATACACTACACTATACACTACTACACACTACACTATACACTACACTATACACTACACACTACACTACACTACACACTACACTATACACTAGTGCTGTACTAGTACACTACACTATACACTACACTATACACTAGTGCTGTACTAGTATACTACACTATACACTACACTAGACACTAGTGCTGTACTAGTATACTACACTATACACTTCACTATACACTACACTATACACTACACTATACACTAGTGCTGTACTAGTATACTACACTATACACTACACTATACACTACACTATACACTACACTATACACTACACTAGACACTAGTGCTGTACTAGTATACTACACTATACACTACACTATACACTACACTATACACTACACTATACACTAGTGCTGTACTAGTATACTACACTATACACTACACTATACACTACACTATACACTACACTATACACTACACTATACACTAGTGCTGTACTAGTATACTACACTATACACTACACTATACACTAGTGCTGTACTAGTATACTACACTATACACTACACTATACACTACACTATACACTACACTATACACTAGTGCTGTACTAGTATACTACACTATACACTATACTAGACATTAGTGCTGTACTAGTATACTACACTATACACTTCACTAGACACTAGTGCTATACTAGTATACTACACTATACACTACACTGTACACTAGTGCTGTACTAGTATACTACACTATACACTATACACTAGTGCTGTACTAGTATACTACACTATACACTACACTATACACTACACTATACACTACACTACACACTACACTATACACTAGTGCTGTACTAGTATACTACACTATACACTACACTCGACACTACACACTACACTAGACACTTCACTATACACTACACTAGACACTAGTGCTGTACTAGTATACTACACTATACACTACACTAGACACTAGTGCTATACTAGTATACTACAATATACACTACACTAGACACTAGTGCTGTACTAGTATACTACACTATACACTACACTAGACACTTCACTATACACTACATTAGACACTAGTGCTGTACTAGTATACTACACTATACACTACACTAGACACTAGTGCTATACTAGTATACTACAATATACACTACACTAGACACTAGTGCTGTACTAGTATACTACACTATACACTACACTATACACTACACTATACACTACACTAAACACTAGACACTAGTGCTATACTAGTATACTACACTATACACTACACTAGACACTAGTGCTGTACTAGTATACTACACTATACACTACACTAGACACTAGTGCTATACTAGTATACTACACTATACACTACACTATACACTACACTATACACTAGACTATACAATACACTATACACTAGTGCTGTACTAGTATACTACACTATACACTACACTATACACTAGAATAGACACTACACTAGACACTAGTGCTGTACTGGTAAAGAATTGGCACCACCTGTTCTGTTTACGTGACAAACCTTCCTGCTGTGCCGGGCGGCGGCGGGTTTACCGACACAACATTGATATATTAACACGATCTGACCCCATTAAACCTCTATTACGGATGCCTTTGTTCGTGAAAGCATCCTGCTCCCTTTTAAACTCTTTTAACAGCTATATATGCTTAGCTCTTTCGGTAAAGTCACGTTGAAGGGAAACAATAAAGTAATACAAAATATATATAAAACAATAAAAAAAATTCTCACGACGTTTCGACCATAACACAAACGGTCGTCGTCAGGTGTTATGGTCAAAACGTCGTGAGAATTTTTTTATTGTTATACATTTTATTATTTTATTGTTTTCCCTTCAACGTGGTGACTTTACCGAAAGAGCTAAGAATACGAATCACTGCGGTCACGAAAGCTTTAAATCTTTTAACAGCTGTTACAGGATCAAATGAATCCGGGACAGAATGAATGATGCATTTTGCAAATGTGCTATTTGTTCAAATGGGAAGACCCACGTGCAAACGACGCCATATATTGGGCCTAAAGCGTGGACGTAAATTTGGGGCCTTTTGGCGTCGTCCTCTGGTCCGACACTGCTCGTGAGACTGGGCCAGGGAGGGTGCTGCTGATGTCACCGGTGTGTACGCCAATCAGTGTCACAGACGACGCATCGATTCATGATCATCGATTCATGATCGGCACACAAGGCGTGTGAGCGCGAGTGTCTGCGGTTTAACGCACCAACTGAAATTCCTTGCCAAAGGCCTCATCCATGTCGGTGTTTGAACGTCTGAAGTTGCATCGCTCGAAAGGGTAAAAGCTATTCTTATTTCTTCGGTACTTTGATACTCCCACAAGACGTACAGTAGCTGCTCTTTGCTTTTTTTCGGTAAGGTCACGTTGGTATACACGGTGGTACCTCGCAGATAGAACTTAATTCGTTCCAAAACCGTGTTCGGACACCGATTTGTTCGAACACCGAATCAATTTTCCCCGTAAGAGTGAATGGAAATAGCATTAGTTGGTTCCCCACCCCAAGGACGCTCCTATTATGGGCCATTTTTACACAAAAGTTTGCGACATTAAAAAAATACAGAGCAGTACATAAAAGCATAACAACAGACAAGAAACGCAGTTATAATTAATCCAATGAATGAACATTGAAACTTCACTTTTACCTGTAGTGGAAGGTGGTGAGGACAAAGTTAACGGAACGATGTTTTTTTTTTGGCGGGTCTGCCGCTGGGCGAGAGCCGCGCGTCTCGGTCGCCATGGTTACAAGTCTCGGTCGCCATGGTTACGTGTCTCGGTCGCCCTGGTTGCGAGTCTCGGTCGCCATGGCTACGCATCTCGGTCGCCATGGCTACGTGTCCCCGTTGCCATGGCTACGCGTCTCGGCCCACGCAGCTTCCTTCCAGCTGTCCGACCTCCGAATGTTTGTCCGATGTCCGGGGCACAAACAAAAAATTGGTTCGTAATTTTTTTGGTTCGATCGCCGAATTGTTCCTCGTCCTGGGGCGTAATCGATCTCCAAGGTTCTACCGTTGATTCATAAAACAATCCTTGCTGTGGGTTTCCCACCTGATGACGATCGAAATGTCGTGATCTAATTAACTTTATTTTGATACCTACTACGTGACTTTAACGAAAGAACCCAAGAGCGCGCATCCCTGCAGTCACGAAAACTTCAAATCAAGATCGTATCTGCTGCTCACCGCCGGGCTACGGAGTGCCCCGATACGCGCGGTGGCATTGCCCTTGTGCTGGTCACCTTAAGGCGTCGTTCTCTGGTCTACTGACACTGCCGGTGAGGCTGGGGCCTAGAGAAGGCCGCTGTCTCTGGTGTAGGCCAATAAGCCTCACAGACAATGCCGTAGAACATTCTAATTACATTGTTATTAAAGACAATGCACACATAAGTAACAGTGTAATATTATAATATTATTATTATTATTATACTGTTCTACTGACGCTGCCGGTGAGGCTGGGGCCTAGAGAAGGCCGCTGTCTCTGGTGTAGGCCAATAAGCCTCAAAGACAATGCCGTAGAACATTCTAATTACATTGTTATTAAAGACAATGCACACATAAGTAACATAAGTAACAGTATAATAATATTATAATAATATTATTATACTGTTCTACTGACACTGCCGATGAGGCTGGAGCCTAGAGAAGGCCGCTGTCTCTGCTGCAGGCAAATCAGCTTCAAAGACAATGCCGTAGAACATTCTAATTACATTGTTACTAAAGACAATGCACACATAAGTAACATAAGTAACAGTATAATAATATTATAATAATATTATTATACTCTTCTACTGACACTGCCGATGAGGCTGGACCCTAGAGAAGGCCGCTGTCTCTGCTGTAGGCCAATAAGCTTCAAAGACAATGCCGTAGAACATTCTGATTACATTGTTACTAAAGACAATGCACACATAAGTAACATAAGTAACAGTATAATAATATTATAATAATATTATTATACTCTTCTACTGACACTGCCGATGAGGCTGGACCCTAGAGAAGGCCGCTGTCTCTGCTGCAGGCTAATCAGCCTCAAAGACAATGCCGTAGAACATTCTGATTACATTGTTACTAAAGACAATGCACACGTAAGTAACAGTATAATATTATAATAATATTATTATACTGTTCTACTGACACTGCCGGTGAGGCTGGACCCTAGAGAAGGCCGCTGTCTCTGCTGCAGGCCAATCAGCTTCAAAGACAATGCCGTAGAACGTTGTAATTACATTGTTACTAAAGACAATGCACACATAAGTAACATAAGTAACGGTGTAATAATATTATACTGTTCTACTGACGCTGCCGATGAGGCTGGGCCACGAAGGAGGCCGCCGCTGTCTGTGGTGTGGGCCAATCAGTGTCACAGACAGGGCAACCGGCTTTACAATCGCAGCCACGTCTGCACGTCCACCGCACGTGGTATAGCGCGTGCGTGTGTGTGCGCGCGTGGCCAACGCGGCAAACTTGATTCCTCGCAAAGGTCGTCACCCATCCACGTTGGCGTCTGAACGTCTCGACACGACAACGTCCCGCCGCCGAACTCGCAAGCAAGGCCCGGGCGCACAAACTCCCATCCCCATGGGTCTCTTCCCCTCCGTCGCAACGTGGAAGCCTCCCTCCACCGCTACCAATGCATCCGTTCACCGCAACCCCAACGCCCCATGCCGAGGTTTCGCCGTGTGCCGCCCCAGGCGCACCCACCGGCCTCCGGTGAAACTTGCGGAGGCTGCGCAACTTGAGCCGTCCCCGCCTGGGAATCGGCGACGCCGGCGACGGCTCCGCCGGTGCCGCACGAGGGCACGTCGCAGTACTCCCAGCGCTGCTCGGGGTCCGCGGTGTAGCACCAGGGCAGCTTCTCGCCGTCCGGGTTGCGGCAGTAGTTGCTCACCAGGCCCCTGTTTTTTTTTGTGCGCCGAGCGGGACAGGAACGGGTGCGAGCTTACCCGCTGGCGCCCGCCGCCCACCGCCCCAGACTCCCGGTGCCGGTGACGTGAGCGAGCAGCCACCCCCCCCCCCCCCAAACCCCCCCAACCGGTGGCGATGTTTGCTACACATCGCACTGCGGTGGGTGGGGGGGGGGTACTCAGGGTAGGCCCAAGTCGCACGTACACGAAGACTTTTGTGGGCAAATGCTGTTAGAGCGAGCAGTCATGGAGCATGCCGGCACTGTGGCACGCGGGGGTCGGGAGGGGGGGGGGGGGGTTGGGCCAGCACCACCACGCCCGGCCGCCTTTGTATCCCCGCCCCGGTCCCCCCCTCCCCCGATTGTGTCGATGTCCGTTACCCATTTGAGGCCGAGCCGACCTAGGGGAGGACAGCGTTCGTGGCGACGGCCGCGGAGTGGGAATATAAACTTTGGCGGCGTGGTTGTTTGTTGTTGTTGTTTGTGTTGTTGTTGTTTGTGTTGTTGTTGTTGTTTGTGTTGTTGTTGTTTGTGTTGTTGTTGTTGTTTGTGTTGTTGTTGTTTGTGTTGTTGTTGTTTGTGTTGTTGTGTTGTTGTGTGACGTTCTGATCTGCCCCGATTGGACATTGTAACCCCCCTACCCCCCACCCCCGCCAGCCCTGCTGGCAGCTCCGTACGGTGCGAAAGAAGTTCAGCAAACGTGGACCGGTGACGGAAGAGATCCATGGGCTCCCAACGCGGAGTCTAAATGCGACACATTGTGATTCTGGGTTCTGAGCGCGGTGCGGGAGAGGGGAGGGAGGGACGGAGGAAGGCAAGGGAGGTGGGGGGGGGAGAGGGAGGGGGGGAGGGAGGGGGGGGAGGGAGGTGGGGGAGGGAGAGGGAGGGGGGGGAGGGAGGTGGGGGAGGGGGGGGAGGGAGGTGGGGGAGGGAGAGGGAGGGGGGGAGGGAGGTGGGGGGGGAGAGGGAGGGGGGGAGGGAGGTGGGGGGGAGAGGGAGGGGGGGAGGGAGGTGGGGGGGAGAGAGGGAGGGGGGGGGAGGGGGGAAGAGAGAGAGAGAGGGGGGGGGGAGGGAGGGAGGGGGGGGAGGGAGGGGCGGGAGAGAGGGAGGGGGGGGAGAGGGAGGGGGAGGAGAGGGAGGGGGGGAGGGAGGTGGGGGGGGAGAGGGGGAGGGAGGTGGGGGGGAGAGGGAGGGGGGGAGGGAGGTGGGGGGGAGAGAGGGAGGGGGGGAGAGGGGGGGGAGGGGGGAAGAGAGAGAGAGAGGGGGGGGGAGGGAGGGAGGGGGGGGAGGGAGGGGCGGGAGAGAGGGAGGGGGGGGAGAGGGAGGGGGAGGAGAGGGAGGGGGGGGAGGGGGAGGGGGGAGGGAGGGGGGGGAGAGAGGGAGAGAGGGAGGGGGGGATAGAAGGAGGGGGGGGGGATAGAGGGAAGGAGGGTGGGAAGGAGGGGAGGGAGGGGGGAAGAGAGAGAGAGGGGGGGGGTGGAGGGAGGGAGTAGAGAGAGGGAGGGAGTAGAGAGAGGGAGGGAGTAGAGAGCGAGGGATGGGAGGCGAGGGAGTGCCCCGACTCACTGGCAGCTGTAGACGTCAGGCGTGCGGGTGTGTGAGTGCGGAGTCTGCGAGGCCCAGGCCTGGCACGCCTTGCCCGAGACGGTGATCGCCACGGTGCCCCGGTACCCTTCCCCCGTGCCCTTCACGCACGACGTGGTCAGCTCCGGCGCGGCGTTCTCCGGCGGCTCGCCCTCTGCGTTTGGCGGGAGACAGGGCGGAAGTCGTCGCTCCTCCAGCCCTCGTCGCTCCTCCAGCCCTCGTCGCTCCTCCAGCCCTCGTCGCTCCTCGTCGAGCACGGAGGCGCTCGGAGCGCCGGCGGAGGCGCTCGGAGCGCCGCCTCGCCGAACGGATCTCGTCAACGGGCGAGCGGCCAAACTCGGGCGGTCGGCCGCCCTCTCGCTGGCAGAGGCGGCTGCTTTGGGCGAGCCCGTCGATTGAGGAGCGCTCCGTCGCTCGCCCGGGAAAGCGGCCGCCGACCGCGCCGACTCCGCTCGCCGCGGACGCAATCAGAACGTTCTACGGCTTTGTCTTTGAGGCTGATTGGCCTGCAGCAGAGACAGCGGCCTTCTCTAGGGCCCAGCCTCACCGGCAGCGTCAGTAGAACAGTACAATAATAATATTATTATAATATTATTATACTGTTACTTATGTTACTTATGTGTGCATTGTCTTTAGTAACAATGTAATTAGAATGTTCTACGGCATTGTCTTTGAAGCTGATTGGCCTGCAGCAGAGACAGCGGCCTTCTCTAGGCCCTAGCCTCACCGGCAGCGTCAGTAGAACAGTATAATAATATTATTATTATATTATTATACTCATAATAAAGGTTTTTGGGTTAGATCGCGTTTATTTATAAATGTGTCGTAACCCTCCACCACCCGACACGGCCAATCAGCAAAGAAAAGTGTCACGTTGACAAAAGACAAATAATTCACTACTTCAGCCCACCGGTGTGTTGAAGAGTTAATCCACATTTACAGTTTGAGTACGACGTTTCGCTGGTAAATACTTCCAGCATCATCGGGCAATTCGCCAGAATGGTAAAGCCCTCGCTTGCTCCCGGTTTTATATAGAGCAGAAGAGTGACGTCATCACTTAACTCATCAGGTGCAGTGATTAGAGGCGGAGGGGGGGGTAATGCAATTATATAATCGATTAGTAATCAGTCATTGGTTATGATTAGTAATGAGTTGTAGATTAGTAATTCTTTAAATCAAAATGTAATGTGTATTATTTAATAATACGCTTCCAGGCCGCACTGAGCCGGTAGCTGTCAGAGCGATTAAAGTTATTCTTGTTCCTCTCAATTTCAATGGATTCTCTAATTAGTCTTTGCCAGTAATAATTAGTTTTACACACCACTGCAACATTGTCAAAATCAATTGAGTGTCCTTGTTGACAAGCATGTTCTGCCACTGCCGACAGTTGTGTTTGAGATAATTTAATATTTCTCTGATGTTCTTTTAGTCTTACGCTGATGTTACGTCCCGTCTGCCCAATGTAGCAGCTGCCACATGAACAATTAATCCGATATACACCTTCTGTTGATAGTTTAGGTAATGCGTCTTTAGTGCAAGATACTAGTTTTTGAATTTTGTGTACTGTACCAAATCTTACTGTAATGTTTTGCTTTTGCAAAACGCGGGCTAATTTGTCAGTTACTCCTGAGATATATGGAATTTTTATTGTTTTAACAATCTGGTCGCTTTTAGTAGTATTGCTTTGCGATCGTGATTTGGCATTCAGTGCTCTGTTAATTTGAGCATTATTGTAGCCATTCTGTCGTAGTGCGTCTTTAACGTGTTTAATCTCTCTCACTAGACTCTCACCATCTGACACTGTTTTCGCCCGATGCACGAGCGTCTTAATAAGAGAGGATTTTTGAGCTGGATGATGATGTGATTCTGCATTCAGATAGGCATCAGTGTGCGTTTGCTTTCTGTAAACGCTGTGTGTTATTTTACCGTTTAGGCCATGTCCAAGCAAAATATCTAGGAATGGGAGTGTATTATTCACCTCCATTTCCATGGTGAACTGGATGGCCGGGTTTTGTGCATTGAGATGATTTAGAAAATCATTAAGTGTATCTTTACCATGTGGCCAGACAACCAAAGTGTCATCCACATACCTAAACCAAAAGGATGGTTTTAATGTGCTCGAGGCAAGTGCTCTTATTTCAAAGTTTTCCATGTACAAATTTGCTATAGCAGGGGATAAAGGAGAACCCATTGCTGCTCCTTCCTTTTGTTTAAAGAAATCCCCTCTCCATAAGAAGTAAGTGTTATTTAAGCAATGGCCAGCAAGTTTCGGAATATCTTTTTGTAAACTGGTATTCTTTACTAGTGTATCAAGTAATTTAAGCGATTCGTCCACTGGAACCTTAGTGAATAGAGAAATCACATCAAAGCTTACCAGAATATCATCAGGAGTAAGTTTAATATCTTTAATCACATTCACAAGATGTTCTGAATTTTTTTATGAATGAAGATGTCTTACCGATGTAGGGCTGTATTTGTTTGGTTATATATTTTGCTAATTGATATGTGGCAGAGCCAATTGTGCTGACTATGGGTCGTAATGGGATGCCGATTTTATGAATCTTTGGTAGCCCATAGAGTCTAGGTGGTTTTGAGGCCCTTGGCTTAATTAGGTATTGCTCATTTTTAGGGATTAATGAATTTGCAATTATTGCAGTGGTCTTACGTTCTAAAGTATTAGTTGGATCTCGTTTAATTTTAATGTAGGTACTTTCCTCTAGTAAATTTCTAATTTTATTATCATAATCGGCTCGTGACATCAGTACAGTAGTGCGGCCTTTATCAGCTGCTAGGATTTGGATATCCTTATTTACACGCAGCTCTCTTAAGGCTTTTGCCTCGTTAGAGCTAATATTTACTTTTGGAACTTTGTTATTCTCAATTATTTTAGCAACCTCATGTCTAGTCATCTCTGCCTCATTATGTGGAAGGAGTCTAACTGCTGATTCTACCTCAGCAATTATCTCATCCACTGGAATTGTGCGTGGGGTAACGGCAAAGTTAAGGCCTTTAGAAAGGATAGAGACCATGTCACCGGTTAATACAGTGTTGGTCAAGTTCAGTACAGTTTTGTTTTTACATTTTTGGGTTTCAGTAGGGATTTGTTTATTATGTAGTCTAGAAAATTTATTAATTTGGTTAGTTTTTGTTAGTTTAAACACATTATCAGCCGATTGTTGTGTTATGTTATCGATTATATTCCAATAATGCATAGATACACTATTGCTTATATCTAAGTGTAACTGCTTTAGCGATTCCGAAATGTAAGATAATTCACTCCTATTGTGCTGTATTCTCTCTATTAATAATAATTCGCTAGCTTTGTGTAGTATTTGGTTAGCTTTAGAAGACTTTATGTGATGTGTTATTTTAACTGCGTTTGGTATTACCTTTGAATCTCTGCACCTTTTGAGGAACGCCAGTGAAGATATCAATTTCATCCGCTTAATGCGAAGCTTCTCCAATTTTCTGGTTTTAAGAAAAGTATCCTCCCCATAGAGGTTAGTCAGTTTAACACGTAGGCTTTCGCGACCAATATTATTCATAATAAAGGTTTTTGGGTTAGATCGCGTTTATTTATAAATGTGTCATAACCCTCCACCACCCGACACGGCCAATCAGCAAAGAAAAGTGTCACGTTGACAAAAGACAAATAATTCACTACTTCAGCCCACCGGTGTGTTGAAGAGTTAATCCACATTTACAGTTTGAGTACGACGTTTCGCTGGTAAATACTTCCAGCATCATCGGGCAATTCGCCAGAATGGTAAAGCCCTCGCTTGCTCCCGGTTTTATATAGAGCAGAAGAGTGACGTCATCACTTAACTCATCAGGTGCAGTGATTAGAGGCGGAGGGGGGGGGGTAATGTAATTATATAATCGATTAGTAATCAGTCATTGGTTATGATTAGTAATGAGTTGTAGATTAGTAATTCTTTAAATCAAAATGTAATGTGTATTATTTAATAATACGCTTCCAGGCCGCACTGAGCCGGTAGCTGTCAGAGCGATTAAAGTTATTCTTGTTCCTCTCAATTTCAATGGATTCTCTAATTAGTCTTTGCCAGTAATAATTAGTTTTACACACCACTGCAACATTGTCAAAATCAATTGAGTGTCCTTGTTGACAAGCATGTTCTGCCACTGCCGACAGTTGTGTTTGAGATAATTTAATATTTCTCTGATGTTCTTTTAGTCTTACGCTGATGTTACGTCCCGTCTGCCCAATGTAGCAGCTGCCACATGAACAATTAATCCGATATACACCTTCTGTTGATAGTTTAGGTAATGCGTCTTTAGTGCAAGATACTAGTTTTTGAATTTTGTGTACTGTACCAAATCTTACTGTAATGTTTTGCTTTTGCAAAACGCGGGCTAATTTGTCAGTTACTCCTGAGATATATGGAATTTTTATTGTTTTAACAATCTGGTCGCTTTCAGTAGTATTGCTTTGCGATCGTGATTTGGCATTCAGTGCTCTGTTAATTTGAGCATTATTGTAGCCATTCTGTCGTAGTGCGTCTTTAACGTGTTTAATCTCTCTCACTAGACTCTCACCATCTGACACTGTTTTCGCCCGATGCACGAGCGTCTTAATAAGAGAGGATTTTTGAGCTGGATGATGATGTGATTCTGCATTCAGATAGGCATCAGTGTGCGTTTGCTTTCTGTAAACGCTGTGTGTTATTTTACCGTTTAGGCCATGTCCAAGCAAAATATCTAGGAATGGGAGTGTATTATTCACCTCCATTTCCATGGTGAACTGGATGGCCGGGTTTTGTGCATTGAGATGATTTAGAAAATCATTAAGTGTATCTTTACCATGTGGCCAGACAACCAAAGTGTCATCCACATACCTAAACCAAAAGGATGGTTTTAATGTGCTCGAGGCAAGTGCTCTTATTTCAAAGACTAATTAGAGAATCCATTGAAATTGAGAGGAACAAGAATAACTTTAATCGCTCTGACAGCTACCGGCTCAGTGCGGCCTGGAAGCGTATTATTAAATAATACACATTACATTTTGATTTAAAGAATTACTAATCTACAACTCATTACTAATCATAACCAATGACTGATTACTAATCGATTATATAATTACATTACCCCCCCCCTCCGCCTCTAATCACTGCACCTGATGAGTTAAGTGATGACGTCACTCTTCTGCTCTATATAAAACCGGGAGCAAGCGAGGGCTTTACCATTCTGGCGAATTGCCCGATGATGCTGGAAGTATTTACCAGCGAAACGTCGTACTCAAACTGTAAATGTGGATTAACTCTTCAACACACCGGTGGGCTGAAGTAGTGAATTATTTGTCTTTTGTCAACGTGACACTTTTCTTTGCTGATTGGCCGTGTCGGGTGGTGGAGGGTTACGACACATTTATAAATAAACGCGATCTAACCCAAAAACCGTTATTATGAATAATATTGGTCGCGAAAGCCTACATATTATTATACTGTTACTTATGTTACTTATGTGTGCATTGTCTTTAGTAACAATGTAATTAGAATGTTCTACGGCATTGTCTTTGAGGCTTATTGGCCTGCAGCAGAGACAGCGGCCAGTCGGTCGAAGGCCTCCCCACGGCAGCTCGCCCGGGAAGCCGCCCGCCCGCCCGCCCGCCCGCGACTCTTCCGGCGCCGCCGCCGCCGCCGCCGCCGTTCCCTCCTCACCGACGAGCTATCGGCCGCCGGCCACGCCGACCCCGCTGAACCGCCAATCAGGTCGCCGTCATCGCCGTCATCGCCGTCATCGCCGGCGGCGGCGGCGGCAGCTTTCGTTTGGCCCGGCCATGGAACACGGCGGTCAACGGCATCGTCGCGCGGCGCTTTGGGCCCGTCTGGAACGTTCTGTCCGCCCGGCGTTAGGAAGCAGCTGGGAGCTACGCCGCACTTTGAAATCGTCGTCGTCGTCATCGTCGTCGTCATCGTCGTCATCGTCGTCGTCATCGTCGTCCTCGTCGTCATCGTCGTCATCGTCGTCGTCGTTTGCTGTCCTTGCCCTCGCGCCGCCGAGTAGCCTGGTCGGCTACGTACGGCGCGAATGAAGATCAGCGTCCACAAAGACAAAGATCCCCCGTGTAGCCTGCCGCAGACTGTAGGGGGCAAGTGCCGCTAGTAGCGAGCAGCAGCAGCAGCAGCAGCTGCTGCAGCAGCTGCTGCAGCAGCTGCAGCAGCTGCAGCAGCAGCTGCTGCAGCAGCAGCATAGCAGCAGCAGCTGCTGCTGCTGCAGCTATGAAGGCCGCCGGCACTGTGGCACACGAGGGGGGGTGGGTGGCCGGCAGCACCGCGCCCCGGCCGCCTTTGTCTCCCCCAGTGCTGGCGGTGTTCACTACACCGCTACACCGCTACACCGCTACAGCAGCTACTCACTTGAGGCTGAGTTGACCTCGTGGAGGCCCCAGGGACCGGTTCAGAGAATCGTCACCCCCCGTGTTGGCCATGTGGGGGGAATCATCCAATACGACTGTGACGTCACCGTCGCCGCGGCGATGGCGACCGTGACGCCCACTACGACTGTGATGTCACCGTCGCCGCGGCCACGATGACCGTGACGCCCACTACGACTGTGATGTCACCGTCGCCGCGGCTACGACGACCGTGACGTCACCGTCACCACTATGGCCCTGACGTCACCGTCACCACTACGACCATGACGTCACCGTCACCACTACGACCGTGACGTCACCGTCACCACTACGAACGTGACGTCACCGTCACCACTACGGCCCTGACATCACCGTCACCGCGGAGACCGTGACCTCACCGTCACCACTACGACCGTGACGTCACCGTCACCACTACGACGGCCGTGACGTCACCGTCACCACTACGGCCCTGACGTCACCGTCACCACTACGACGGCCGTGACGTCACCGTCGCCGCGGGGACGTCTCACCGCACTTGGAGAGAGCGCAGTGCTCCCAGCGCTGCGCGGCGTCCGTGGTGAAGCACCAGGGGCGAGACTCCTTGTTGGGGTTGCGGCAGAAGTTGTTGGCCAGGTCGCTCCCTGCGAAGCTGGGGTCAAGCGGGCAACACGCACACAGTGACACACACACACAGTGACACACACAGTGACACACACACACAGTGACACACACACACATAGTGACACACACACACACACACAGTGACACACACACACAGTGACACACACAGTGACACACACAGTGACACACACACACACACACAGTGACACACACACACACACAGTGACACACACACACAGTGACACACACACACACACAGTGACACACACAGTGACACACACACACAGTGACACACACACACAGTGACACACACAGTGACACACACAGTGACACACACACACAGTGACACACACACACAGTGACACACACACACAGTGACACACACACACAGTGACACACACACAGTGACACACACACACAGTGACACACACAGTGACACACACACACAGTGACACACACACAGTGACACACACACACACACAGTGACACACACACAGTGACACACACACAGTGACACACACACAGTGACACACGCACACAGTGACACACACACAGTGACACACACACACAGTGACACACACAGTGACACACACACAGTGACACACACACACAGTGACACACACACACACACAGTGACACACACAGTGACACACACACACACACAGTGACACACACAGTGACACACACACACAGTGACACACACACACACAGTGACACACACAGTGACACACACACACACACAGTGACACACACAGTGACACACACACACACACACAGTGACACACACAGTGACACACACACAGTGACACACACACACACACACAGTGTCACACACACACAGTGACACACACACAGTGACACACACACAGTGACACACACAGTGACACACACAAACACACAGTGACACACACACAGTGACACACACAGTGACACACACACAGTGACACACACAGTGACACACACACAGTGACACACACAGTGACACACACACAGTGACACACACACAGTGACACACACAGTGACACACACACAGTGACACACACAGTGACACACACAGTGACACACACACAGTGACACACACACACAGTGACACACACAGTGACACACACACACAGTGACACACACACACAGTGACACACACAGTGACACACACACACAGTGACACACACACACACACAGTGACACACACACAGTGACACACACACATAGTGACACACACACACACAGTGACACACACACACAGTGACACACACACAGTGACACACACAGTGACACACACACACACAGTGACACACACAGTGACACACACAGTGACACACACACAGTGACACACACACACACAGTGACACACACACACAGTGACACACACACACAGTGACACACACAGTGACACACACACACAGTGACACACACACAGTGACACACACACAGTGACACACACACAGTGACACACACACACAGTGACACACACACACAGTGACACACACAGTGACACACACAGTGACACACACACACAGTGACACACGCACACAGTGACACACACAGTGACACACACACACAGTGACACACACACACACAGTGACACACACACACAGTGACACACACACACACACAGTGACACACACACAGTGACACACACACATAGTGACACACACACACAGTGACACACATACACAGTGACACACACAGTGACACACACACACAGTGACACACATACACAGTGACACACACAGTGACACACACACACAGTGACACACACACACACACAGTGACACACACACACAGTGACACACACACACAGTGACACACACAGTGACACACACACGCACACAGTGACACACACAGTGACACACACACACAGTGACACACACACACACAGTGACACACACAGTGACACACACACACAGTGACACACACACAGTGACACACACAGTGACACACACACACACAGTGACACACACAGTGACACACACAGTGACACACACAGTGACACACACACACAGTGACACACACAGTGACACACAGTGACACACACACAGTGACACACACAGTGACACACAGTGACACACACACAGTGACACACACAGTGACACACACACACACACAGTGACACACACACACAGTGACACACACACAGTGACACACACACACAGTGACACACACAGTGACACACACAGTGACACACACACACACAGTGACACACACACACAGTGACACACACAAACACACAGTGACACACACACAGTGACACACACACAGTGACACACACACAGTGACACACACACAGTGACACACACAGTGACACACACAGTGACACACACACAGTGACACACACACACACAGTGACACACACACACACAGTGACACACACAGTGACACACACAGTGACACACACACAGTGACACACACACACAGTGACACACACACACAGTGACACACACAGTGACACACACACAGTGACACACACAGTGACACACACAGTGACACACACACAGTGACACACACAGTGACACACACACACAGTGACACACACACAGTGACACACACACACACAGTGACACACACAGTGACACACACAAACAGTGACACACACACAGTGACACACACACACAGTGACACACACAGTGACACACACACACAGTGACACACACAGTGACACACACAGTGACACACACACACAGTGACACACACAGTGACACACACACAGTGACACACACACACACAGTGACACACACAGTGACACACACACACACAGTGACACACACAGTGACACACACACACAGTGTCACACACACACACAGTGTCACACACAGTGACACACACACACACACAGTGACACACACAGTGACACACTCACACAATGACACACACACAGTGACACACACAGTGACACACACACAGTGACACACACACAGTGACACACACACACAGTGACACACACAGTGACACACACACACAGTGACACACACACACAGTGACACACACACAGTGACACACACAGTGACACACACACAGTGATACACACAGTTACACACACAGTGACACACACACAGTGACACACACACAGTGACACACACACAGTGACACACACACACACAGTGACACACACAGTGACACACACACAGTGACACACACACACAGTGACACACAGTGACACACTCACACAATGACACACACACAGTGACACACACAGTGACACACACAAACAGTGACACACACAGTGACACACTCACACAATGACACACACAGTGACACACACAGTGACACACACACACACAGTGACACACAGTGACACACACACACACAGTGACACACACAGTGACACACACAGTGACACACACACACAGTGACACACACAGTGACACACACACAGTGACACACACACACAGTGACACACACAGTGACACACACACACACACAGTGACACACACACAGTGACACACACACAGTGACACACAACAACAACAAACAACAACCGCCATTCGCCACTAAGTGGCGGTGACGTCACCACGACGCTTGTGCCAGGCTATGTGCACCCTGAGGCCACGTGAAGTGTCGAACGCCCGCTGGCAGGAGGTCACGGGGCAGACCCAGGTGCCACGGGTCGACTGACTGAGATGACTGGCTGATGCACCACCTGTGCCCCCTACTGTGCCAACCTGCTGTGCTTTAGCCACCCGGCGCTCCGCTCGCTGTTGTGAGCGTCGCTCCTCCGCCCTCCGTTGTTGTTGGAGGGCGACTGCCTCCAACTGCCCAGTAGCATCCTTCACGAGCCTCCTCCACAGAGGCCGATCTTGACACCGCTGGTACCAGTCATCGGCAAGTCCACTCAGCTCCACGTCCTCCTGTACCACATCACTCCATCTCTTCTCTAGCCCGTGCCGCGCCCACTTAGCCCCCTCAATCCGGCCAAACAAAAGCTGTTTCGGCATGCGGTGGCTGGGCATGCGGGCTACATGACCCAGCCATCGCAGCCTTGCCTGCCGGAGGAGCTCACCGATGGGACCCTGCCCAGATCTTTCAAGGATTTGTGAGCTCCTCACACAATCCAGTCTGGTTAAACCCAGGATGGATCGTAGGCAGGCCAGCCTAAATGTTTCTAACCGGCGAAGATGTTCCATTAGGGGGGTCCACGTTTCGCAAGCGTAGAGAAGGGAGGGAATGACCGTGGCCGAGAAGACCTGAAGCTTAGTGCGGAGCGACAGACCAGGTAGCTTCCACACAGCGTTACGCAACCGATGAAAAGATATTGCCGCTCGACTGATTCGGAGTGAGACCTCTGCTGTTAAACTGGAGCCAGTCATAAGCACACTGCCCAGGTATGGGAAACTCTCCACTCTCTCCACAACTGCCCCATCACCGATTGGGAGTTGTGGGGGTGGAGTGTCCGATGGTACAAAAGACCCAGGCAGGTGCTTAGTTTTGGTGGGGCTGATGGTAAGGCCCCACCTCTTAGTGGCACGCTCCAGTCTCAGCAGCAGCGTCTCCAACTCCTCCTCTGACTGAGCAGCTATTACCAAGTCATCAGCATACATAACGTGGTTGAGCAATAGGGAGCCATCCCTTGACCGCACCCGGGCATCGATTAGCCTCCCATTATATCTGTACTATATGGAGATTCCCCCGGTACAGCTATTGAAGGCTTCACGAACTACGTGGTCAAAATAGATGTTAAATAATGTGGGAGCCAGAGGACATCCCTGTCGCACCCCAAGGTGTACAGGGAATGGCTCTGACTCCCGGCCACGTAGTTTTACCCGGGCCCGCTCACCATCATGAAGGTCCTTAATGATCGTGAGCAGAGGGTCAGGTACTCCAAAAGCACGAAGAACGACCCAGAGCCCAGGCCTACTGATGGTATCATAGGCCTTGACCAGGTCAATAAAGCAGAGATGTAGGTCTTGTTGGAATTCCCTACACCTCTGCTGTAGCAGACGGACAGAAAATATGGCATCTGTGCAGGACCGCCCTTTCCTGAAACCGCATTGGGGCTCTGCAAGCCTCTCCTCAGCGTGCCTGGCAAGGCGATGCTGAATAATCCTTGCCAGGACCTTTCCCGGCACACTGAGGAGTGAGATGCCCCTGTAGTTGTTACAGTCTGTGCGGTCCCCCTTCTTAAAAATGGGGACCACCAGGGCATCCTTCCAATCCTGCGGAACCCGTCCAGTGGTCCAGACTGTTGTTATGATGTCATATAGGGCAGTCTGTGCACAAACGCCACCCTCCCTCAGCATTTCGCTTGGGAGATCATCTCTGCCCGCTGCCTTTCCTGGTCTCAGACTCCGGATCGCCTTCAATACTTCCTCAGCAGATGGCACCTCAGCCAGCCACTCACAGGGGGTGACTTCATCCAATATTTGAGGCACCGCAGCCTCAGCAGGGTCATCCTCACTTTGTGCCACGATGTTTTCCTGGCTGAGGGATTTTCCCTCCCCCAGGACCTCACAGAAATGCTCAGCAAATCTGCGAACCTGTTCCTGGGGGTCGGAGATTGGATCACCGTTTTTTCCCCTAATGATGGTAATAGGTGTGGCGCTGCAGGTTACTTTTTTGATGGAGTTAAATAGAGATTTGTGATCACGGGCCACTAAGGCAGACTCCATCTCCTCAGCAACCCGCGACCACCACCCATCCTTGCAGCGCCTCACGGCTCTCCGAACCTCCGAGCGAAGGCAGCGGTAAGCCTCCTCATTCTCTGACGTGGGATTCTGTAGCCGATGACAGTGGGCCTGTCGCTTTTTCTCAACCATCCTGAACACCTCCTCTGTCAGCCAGGGTCTCTGGGGAGGTCTGGACCGCGTACCCAAAGCAGCCATTGCAGCTGCATGAGTCACAGTCCTAAACCTCGCCCATTTACCCTCGACATCAGGAGGAGTCGGGGACGATGCCAATCCCAGCCGCAAGCGATGATGAAATTCTCGCTTGCAACTTTCATCAGATAACTGAGATCAGGCCACTTTATGTTGGAATGGGGTCCTGGGTGTACACCCACCACCGGAGTGGAAGAATGGCAGGCGCATCTTACAGATGACTAGTCGATGGTCAGAGGGCAGATCAGTTCCACGGTAGGTCCTGGTGTCAAGGACATGGGCTCGCATTCGCTGGTCCGTCACTATGTAGTCCAGCAGATGTTCTTGCTTGGACCCGGCATGCATCCATGATTTTGTGTGGATGCGCCGATGCCGGAACAGCGTGTTGGTAATTACAAGCCCATGGGCTGCACAAAAATCTAGCAGCCTCCTACCGTTGTTATTGAGCTGATCTGGCCCATGCCCTTCAATCACTCCAGACCAGGTGCCAGTATCATGACCAACTCGGGCATTGAAGTCACCCAACATGATGACTCTATCCCGAGGGGCCACTTTAGCCAGCACCTGCGACAGGAGGTCATAGAAGGCATCTGACTCATCGGCTTTGCCTGCATCCCTCCACGGATGTTCATCTTCGGTGGGGGCATAAGTAACCACGACCACCATTCCTCGCCTCCGGTTGATGCGAAGGCGAGCCCAAAGTAGCCTGGGGCTTACAGCTTCCCACACCTCACCGCCACGCTCCCACGCCCCCTTCATTCTTTTGTTCAAAAGAAGACCCACACCCTGTTGTTTGGCAGTCTGCTGCCCCGAGTAGAGGACTGTCCACCCCTCATGGTGGCAGGAGCCCGAGCCGGTCCACCGGACCTCCTGAATGCCGCATAGATCCAGGCGGTACCGGTCCAGCTCCCGACAGAGGAGTGGCAGCCTCTCCTCTGCAGTGAGCGTTCGAACATTCCACGTGGCCACCCGTAGTGGCTTTTCGTTGTTTCTGGAGTAGCCCCGAGGGTAGGTATTCAATCTCCTGGCTCCGCCAATTGGGGTATGGCCAGGAGACTTCATAGACGCCTGGCCCCCCGGGGCCTCCGGCACAAGCTTATTAGTTACATATTTCAGTTTAATTCGTGGTTTCGTGGTAATTAATTGAAGGTGGAGGGGTTACCAGCCCCTCGCACCCGTCCAGAGCCCCCATTTAGCCCCTGTGGTGGACACATATACCATGAGGGGAGGAGCCAATCAAAATTGGATCTCCCCCCACAGCACTGTCCACGACAGAGTTGCCCGTCCGGCACCGCGCGGAGGTAGGGGGTTGTTTTGTGTGTCACTGTGTGTGTGTGACACAAAGACAAAGATCCCCCGTATAGCCTTAACAGACTGTAGGGGCAAGTGCTGTTAGCGAGCACCTATGAAGGCCGGAACGGTACACGAGGGGGTGGGTGGCCAGCACCACGCCCAACCGCCTTTGTCTCCCTAGTGGCAATGTTTACACACCGCACCAGGTACTCACTGTGTGTCACTGTGTGTGTGTGTCACTGTGTGTGTGTGTGACACAAAGACAAAGACAAAGATCCCCCATATAGCCTTAACAGACTGTAGGGGCAAGTGCTGTTAGCGAGCACCTATGAAGGCCGGAACGATACACGAGGGGGTGGGTGGCCAGCACCACGCCCGACCGCCTTTGTCTCCCTAGTGGCGATGTTTACACACCGCACCAGGTACTTATTTGAGGCTGAGTCGACCTAGGGGAGGCCCGGGACCGGTTCAGATGATCGTCACTGGTGTTGGCCGTGAGCGGGAATCGAACCCGGGTCGCCAGGTTCATAGCGCAGCGCGCTAACCGCTACACTATCGCTCACACACACAGTGACACACACACAGTGACACACACACACACAGTGACACACACAGTGACACACACAGTGACACACACACACACAGTGACACACACACACACAGTGACACACACACTCAGTGACACACACACAGTGACACACACAGTGACACACACAGTGACACACACACACAGTGACACATACAGTGACACACACACAGTGACACACACACAGTGACACACACACACAGTGACACACACAGTGACACACACACACAGTGACACACACAGTGACACACACACAGTGACACACACAGTGACTCACACAGTGACACACACAGTGACACACACACACAGTGACACACACAGTGACACACACACACAGTGACACACACACACAGTGACACACACACACAGTGACACACACAGTGACACACACACAGTGACACACACAGTGACACACACAGTGACACACACACAGTGACACACACACAGTGACACACAAACACAGTGACACACAGTGACACACAAACACAGTGACACACACAGTGACACACACAGTGACACACACACACAATGACACACACACACATACACACACAGTGACACACACAGTGACACACACACAATGACACACACAGTGACACACACACACAGTGACACATACAGTGACACACACAGTGACACACACACACAGTTACACACACAGTGACACACACAGTGACACACACACACAGTGACACACACAGTGACACACACACACAGTGACACACACACACACAGTGACACACACACAGTGACACACACACACAGTGACACACACACAGTGACACACACACACAGTGACACACACACACAGTGACACACACACAGTGACACACACACACAGTGACACACACAGTGACACACACACACAGTGACACACACAGTGACACACACAGTGACACACACACAGTGACACACACACACATACACACAAAGTGACACACACAGTGACACACACACACAGTGACACACACAATGACACACACAGTGACACACATACACAATGACACACACAGTGACACACACACACAATGACACACCCACTGAATTTCCTTAACTTAACAATTGCTCAATGCTTGATCGTTCCATCATCAATTAAAAACAAAAATCCGAATAAATCCACATTGGAAGCATATTCGTTCCTTCGAATTTCCTCATCCCTTAGAAACTGGAACATCCGGGGCGGTTCGACATTTCGATGGCGTCCCGTGGCAACGCTCCACCGGCACGTTTCCACAATCACATCACGCGGTGAACAAATGGAACCTCACGGGCAAAAGAAATTGACCGGCGAGTCCGGAATCGCCAACATCTGCCGGAACGAATCGGCACCTCTGCGGGCTGAAGGTGTGCCTGTGCGGGGTCTGCTCATCCCAGCGTTGGCAGTCCTTGCCCGTCTCGGTCTTGGCCACCGTGCCACGGTAATCCTCGCCGATGCAGTGGTAGCAGCTGCCTGCGCTCGCAAAAAGCCGTTAGCACCACGACGTCGAAGCCACGGGCTCCCCGCGGATCAGGCGAGGTAGTTAGCACCTCGACGTAGAAGCCACGACCTCCTGCGGATCAGGCGAGGTAGTTAACATCTCGATGTAGAACCCACGAGCTCCTGCGTATCAAGCGAGGTAGTTAACAACTCGATGAAGAAGCCACGGGCTCCCAACCGATCAGGCGAGGTAGTTAACATCTCGACGTAGAAGCCACGAGCTCCCGCGGATCAGGCGAGGTAGTTAACATCTCGACGGAGAAGCCACGAGCTCCCGCGGACCAGGCGAGGTAGTTAACATCTCAACATCGAAGCCACGAGCTCCCGCGGACCAGGCGAGGTAGTTAACATCTCAACATCGAAGCCACGAGCTCCCGCGGACCAGGCGAGGTAGTTAACATCTCAACATCGAACCCACGACCTCCCGCGGATCAGGCGAGGTAGTTAACACCTCGACATCGAACCCACGACCTCCTGCGTACCAGGCGAGGTAGTTAACATCACGACGTCGAAGCCACGAGCTCCTGCGGATCAGGCGAGGTAGTTAACACCTCGACATTGAACCCACGACCTCCTGCGTACCAGGCGAGGTAGTTAACACCTCGACATTGAACCCACGACCTCCCGCGGACCAGGCGAGGTTGTTAACATCTCGACATCGAACCCACGACCTCCCGCGTACCAGGCGAGGTAGTTAACACCTCGACGTAGAAGCCACGACCTCCTGCGGATCAGGCGAGGTAGTTAACATCTCGATGTAGAACCAACGAGCTCCTGCGTATCAAGCGAGATAGTTAACAACTCGATGAAGAAGCCACGGGCTCCCAACCGATCAGGCGAGGTAGTTAACATCTCGACGTAGAAGCCACGAGCTCCCGCGGATCAGGCGAGGTAGTTAGCATCTCGACGTAGAAGCCACGACCTCCCGCGTACCAGGCGAGGTAGTTAACATCTCTGTGTGTATCTCTGTGTGTGTATCTCTGTGTGTGTGTGTGTATCTGTGTGTGTATATGTGTGTGTGTATATGTGTGTGTGTATCTCTGTGTGTATCTCTGTGTGTGTATCTCTGTGTGTGTATCTCTGTGTGTGTGAGTATCTCTGTGTGTGTGTGAGTGTGAGTATCTCTGTGTGTGTGTGAGTATCTCTGTGTGTGTGTGAGTATCTCTGTGTGTGTGAGTATCTCTGTGTGAGTGTGAGTATCTCTGTGTGTGTGTGAGTATCTCTGCATGTGTGTGTGAGTATCTCTGTGTGTGAGTATCTCTGTGTGTGAGTATCTCTGTGTGTGTGTGTGTGAGTATCTCTGTGTGTGTGTATCTCTGTGTGTGTGAGTATCTGTGTGTGTGTGAGTATCTCTGTGTGTGAGTATCTCTGTGTGTGAGTATCTCTGTGTGTGTGTGAGTATCTCTGTGTGTGTGTGTGAGTATCTCTGTGTGTGTGAGTATCTCTGTGTGTGTGAGTATCTGTGTGTGTGTGAGTATCTCTGTGTGTGTGTGAGTATCTCTGTGTGTGTGAGTATCTGTGTGTGTGTGAGTATCTCTGTGTGTGTGAGTATCTCTCTCTGTGTGTGAGTATCTCTGTGTGTGTGAGTATCTCTGTGTGTGTGTAAGTATCTCTGTGTGTGTGAGTGTGAGTATCTCTGTGTGTGTGAGTGTGAGTATCTCTGTGTGTGTAAGTATTTACGTGTGTGTGTGTGAGTATCTCTGTATGTGTGTGTGTGAGTATCTCTGTATGTGTGTGTGTGAGTATCTCTGTGTGTGTGAGTATCTCTGTGTGTGTGTATCTCTGTGTGTGTGAGTGTCTCTGTATGTATGTGTGTGCGTATCTCTGTGTGTGTGAGTATCTCTGTGTGTGTGTATCTCTGTGTGTGTGAGTATCTCTGTGTGTGTGTGTGAGTATCTGTGTGTGTGTGAGTGTCTCTCTGTGTGTGTGAGTATCTGTGTGTGTGTGTGTGAGTATCTGTGTGTGTGTGTGAGTATCTCTGTGTGTGTGTATCTCTGTGTGTGTGAGTATCTCTGTGTGAGTGTCTTTCTGTGTGTGTGAGTGTATCTCTGTGTGTGTGAGTATCTCTGTGTGTGTGTATCTCTGTGTGTGTGAGTATCTCTGTGTGTGTGTGTCTCTCTGTGTGTGTGAGTATCTCTGTGTGTGTGTATCTCTGTGTGTGTGAGTATCTCTGTGTGTGTGTATCTCTGTGTGTGTGAGTATCTCTGTGTGTGTGAGTGTCTCTCTGTGTGTGTGAGTGTCTCTCTGTCTGTGTGAGTATCTCTGTGTGTGCATCTCTGTGTGTGTGAGTATCTCTGTATGTGTGTGTGTGAGTATCTCTGTGTGTGTGAGTATCTCTGTGTGTGTGAGTATCTCTGTGTGTGTGTGAGTATCTCACCAGTGGTCCCACCGGCACACGAGGGCACGTTGCAGTACTCCCAGCGACGCTCCGGGTCCGCGGTGTAGCACCAGGGCAGCTTCTCCCCGTCCGGGTTGCGGCAGTAGTTGGCCTCTAAGCCCCTAGAGGAGCGAGCGCAAGGTCGGGACGTGTTAAAAACAACAACAACAACACCAACCAACCAACAACAACAAACAGTAACAACCAACAACAAACATCTACCAATCTTCATTTGAAGCTTTCGTGACTGCAGGAATCCATACTCTTTGGTTCTTTCGGTAAAATCAAAGCCTATTGTGTAGGCTTTGACTTTAACATAGCTATTTCTGTAACCAGTCACAAGCTAATCCTTCAGTTATTTCAATGCTAAATTCTCCTGTTTGATATGTACTAGGTGCCTCTGTGGATGTGTAGGCTTTGACTTTAACATAGCCATTTCTGTGACCAGTCACAAGCTAATCCCTCAGCTATTTCAATGCTAAATTCTCCTGTTTGATTTGTACTAGGTGCCTCTGTGGATGTGTAGGCTTTGACTTTAACATAGCCATTTCTGTGACCAGTCACAAGCTAATCCCACAGCTATTTCAATGCTAAATTCTCCTGTTTGATTTGTACTAGGTGCCCCTGTGGATGTGTAGGCTTTGACTTTAACATAGCCATTTCTGTGACCAGTCACAAGCTAATCACTCAGCTATTTCAATGCTAAATTCTCCTGTTTGATATGTACTAGGTGCCCCTGTGGATGTGTAGGCTTTGACTTTAACATAGCTATTTCTGTGACCAGTCACAAGCTAATCCCTCAGCTATTTCAATGCTAAATTATCCTGTTTGATTTGTACTAGGTGCCTCTGTGGATGTGTAGGCTTTGACTTTAACATAGCTGTTTCTGTGACCAGTCACAAGCTAATCCCTCAGCTATTTCAATGCTAAATTCTCCTATTTGATATGTACTAGGTGCCTCTGTGGATGTGTAGGCTTTGACTTTAACATAGCTATTTATGTGACCAGTCACAAGCTAATCCCTCAGCTATTTCAATGCTAAATTCACCTGTTTGATTTGTACTAGGTGCCTCTGTGGATGTGTAGGCTTTGACTTTAACATAGCCATTTCTGTGACCAGTCACAAGCTAATCCCTCAGCTATTTCAATGCTAAATTCTCCTGTTTGATTTGTACTAGGTGCCTCTGTGGATGTGTAGGCTTTGACTTTAACATAGCCATTTCTGTGACCAGTCACAAGCTAATCCCACAGCTATTTCAATGCTAAATTCTCCTGTTTGATTTGTACTAGGTGCCCCTGTGGATGTGTAGGCTTTGACTTTAACATAGCCATTTCTGTGACCAGTCACAAGCTAATCACTCAGCTATTTCAATGCTAAATTCTCCTGTTTGATATGTACTAGGTGCCTCTGTGGATGTGTAGGCTTTGACTTTAACATAGCTATTTCTGTGACCAGTCACAAGCTAATCCCTCAGCTATTTCAATGCTAAATTATCCTGTTTGATTTGTACTAGGTGCCTCTGTGGATGTGTAGGCTTTGACTTTAACATAGCTGTTTCTGTGACCAGTCACAAGCTAATCCCTCAGCTATTTCAATGCTAAATTCTCCTATTTGATATGTACTAGGTGCCTCTGTGGATGTGTAGGCTTTGACTTTAACATAGCTATTTATGTGACCAGTCACAAGCTAATCCCTCAGCTATTTCAATGCTAAATTCACCTGTTTGATTTGTACTAGGTGCCTCTGTGGATGTGTAGGCTTTGACTTTAACATAGCCATTTCTGTGACCAGTCACAAGCTAATCCCTCAGCTATTTCAATGCTAAATTCTCCTGTTTGATTTGTACTAGGTGCCTCTGTGGATGTGTAGGCTTTGACTTTAACATAGCCATTTCTGTGACCAGTCACAAGCTAATCCCACAGCTATTTCAATGCTAAATTCTCCTGTTTGATTTGTACTAGGTGCCCCTGTGGATGTGTAGGCTTTGACTTTAACATAGCCATTTCTGTGACCAGTCACAAGCTAATCACTCAGCTATTTCAATGCTAAATTCTCCTGTTTGATATGTACTAGGTGCCCCTGTGGATGTGTAGGCTTTGACTTTAACATAGCTATTTCTGTGACCAGTCACAAGCTAATCCCTCAGCTATTTCAATGCTAAATTATCCTGTTTGATTTGTACTAGGTGCCTCTGTGGATGTGTAGGCTTTGACTTTAACATAGCTGTTTCTGTGACCAGTCACAAGTTAATCCCTCAGCTATTTCAATGCTAAATTCTCCTATTTGATATGTACTAGGTGCCTCTGTGGATGTGTAGGATTGACTTTAACATAGCCATTTCTGTGACCAGTCACAAGCTAATCACTCAGCTATTTCAATGCTAAATTCGCCTGTTTGATATGTACTAGGTGCCTCTGTGGATGTGTAGGCTTTGACTTTAACATAGCTATTTCTGTGACCAGTCACAAGCTAATCCCTCAGCTATTTCAATGCTAAATTCTCCTGTTTTATTTGTACTAGGTGCCTCTGTGGATGTGTAGGCTTTGACTTTAACATAGCTATTTCTGTGACCAGTCACAAGCTAATTCCTCAGCTATTTCAATGCTAAATTATCCTATTTGATATGTACTAGGTGCCTCTGTGGATGTGTAGGCTTTGACTTTAACATAGCTATTTATGTGACCAGTCACAAGCTAATCCCTCAGCTATTTCAATGCTAAATTCTCCTGTTTGATATGTACTAGGTGCCTCTGTGGATGTGTAGGCTTTGACTTTAACATAGCCATTTCTGTGACCAGTCACAAGCTAATCCCTCAGCTATTTCAATGCTACATTCGCCTGTTTGATATGTACTAGGTGCCTCTGTGGATGTGTAGGCTTTGACTTTAACATAGCCATTTCTGTGACCAGTCACAAGCTAATCCCTCAGCTATTTCAATGCTAAATTCACCTGTTTGATTTGTACTAGGTGCCTCTGTGGATGTGTAGGCTTTGACTTTAACATAGCCATTTCTGTGACCAGTCACAAGCTAATCCCTCAGCTATTTCAATGCTAAATTCTCCTGTTTGATATGTAAACCCCTTTGTCAAGGTGCCTCACTTCTCTCAACCAGCTTAAAAGACGCTGCGAATCTTAGCGGCGTTCATTGAAGCTCTGTCATCCCGACAGGTTTGTTCCTTTCACCTGAAGAAGGCCACTTGTGTTGTGGCCGAAACGTCGTGAGAATTTTATTGTCTTAATTTATTTTATCATTTTATTCTCATTCTCCGTGACTTTACCGACAGAACCAAAGAAGAAAAGTCCACGTAGTCATTCGAGCCGGCGGCATTATAGCAATGGTCAGCCACGGCAGAGGTATTGGTTCTGCCGTGTTTCAGACCTGCCTTGTGTTCGCGAACGCGGTCCGAGACACGTCGCTCCGTTTCCCCAATCTAACCGCCAGCGCAGGTACAACTCACGGATTTTGCGTCCTGTATTGAATCGGACCTGGATCTTGCGTTTGTTTATGATCTTGGACATCCTTTTGGTAACGCCTGCTATGCATGGTCACGTGATGGTTCTGTTCGGCGTCTCAGGGGGCTGTTTCTCCATGGTTGGAGAAACCGCTTTGCGAATAATGCGGTCCGAGTACCCATTCATCTTGAGGGCCTGGCGTACGTGTATCCAGATCGCTGGCTAGGTGGTGTTGGTCGGAAATGCAGTGGGCCCCTATTGTGTAGTGTTTTGATGAGGGAATTCTTCTGTGCCCTGATGGTGGTGGGAATCCGGTTTCAGATAGGAATCCGTGTGGGTGGCTTTCCTGTAGACAGAGTGTCCCAACGAGCCGTCAGGCCTCATCTCAAACAAAACTACCAGGAATGGTAGCTTACCATCCTTCTCCACTTCCTTGGTGAATTTGATGGGTGGGTGTAATGGAATTGATGTGGTTGAGAAATTGGTTCAATGCTGGCAGGCCACGTGGCCAAATTACCGAAAGTGTCATCCACGTATCTCTTCGACGGGGAAAGATGTAGGGTGGATGTCTGGATGGCATCCGTTTCAAATTTCTCCATGAAAACTTTCGCTATCGCTGGTGATAAGGGCGGACCCATTGGGGCACCTTCATTTTGCTTGTAGAAAGTACCATTGCAAACCTTCGTGATACTATCAAAGGCTTGTTCATGAAGCCATCCAGATATATAAACATAGATGCAACGTCAACCGAGAATATGGGTACAAATTGAGCAATCATTGGAAATATGTTATTAACCAGGTAAAACCTCAAATGCTTTATGGTTGTTCCATCATATCTGCCGGGTACTAGTCTGTTGCTACATTCACATTGTTGCTGCATTGACATTGCTGCTACATTGGCATTGCTGCTGCATTGTTACTACATTGGCATTGTTGCTGCATTGTTGCTACATTGGCATTGTTGCTACATTGGTATTGTTGTTGCATTGCTGCTACATTGGCATTGCTGCTACATTGGCATTGCTGCTACATTGGCATTGTTGCTGCATTGCTGCTACATTGACATTGCTGCTACATTGACATTGCTGCTACATTGGCATTGTTGCTGCATTGTCATTGCTGCTACATTGGCATTGTTACTACATTGGCATTGCTGCTACATTGGCATTGTTACTACATTGGCATTGTTGCTACATTGTTGCTACATTCACATTGTTGCTACATTGGCATTGTTGCTACATTCACATTGTTGCTACATTCACATTGTTGCTACATTGGCATTGTTGCTACATTCTTGCTACATTCACATTGTTGCTACATTGGCATTGTTGCTACATTCTTGCTACATTCACATTGTTGCTACATTGGCATTGCTGCTACATTGGCATTGTTGCTACATTGGCATTGCTGCTGCATTGGCATTGTTAGTGCATTGGCATTGTTGCTACATTGTTGCTACATTCACAATGTTGCTACATTGGCATTGTTGCTACATTGGCATTGTTGCTACATTGTTGCTACATTGGCATTGTTGCTACATTGGCATTGTTGCTAGATTGTTGCTACATTGACATTGTTGCTACATTGTTGCTACATTGGCATTGTTGCTACATTGGCATTGTTGCCACATTGGCATTGCTGCTACATTGGCATTGTTGCTACATTGG